CTTGATTCCTGGGTATCCAAATCACTGAATGAGGAGGAAGTTTCCTGTTCTGGATATGTGTATCCATCTTACACCTTCTGGACCAGGGAGAAAGAACTGATTTATTTGCAAAGTCTGTAGGGCTTCAAATACATGATTCATCTCCGCTGAGTAACAGCAGTAGCTTCCTGCGAGCGTACAAGATGTGCTAGACACTCTGCGAACTCGCGTTTAATTCTCCAGCCCCCTTGTAGCAAGCAAATTCATTGTACAGCCCTGCCATTCCCTTCAAGGTCACAGAGCAGGGAGCTGGTGCAGTCTGTCCGCAGAATCCACATTTTTAGCATAGGGGGGAAAAGGCTGTAATGGAACCGGATGGTGGTAGGCAAGAGGGACAAAAATACTGCATGACTTCTTGACCGACGCAGCGTCACCGTTCTGAGCCCTCGGATTCAGCATGAGTAGAAGCTTTAGGTGTTAACAGCGTGGTTACTAAAGTCGCCTGTGAAGCGGCACTTGGCCGCCTTTTCCTGCGCTGTCCCCGAGGCCCGGGGAACCCTGTGCCTGGGCGCCCGCTGTGAAATACCTTTTCCTTTCTTTTCTTTCCGTGCTTTCTCGGGGGGAGAGGCAGGGCGGCAGCTCTAACGCCTTAGGCCACCCTCCAGGCTTCCCTCCAGGACAGGCGTCAGGCTGCTGCAGAATACTCCGGTGCAGCCCGGCGCCCTCGGCTTTCCACAAATAGCTATTTATTTGCTTATCTGCAAAGAAGGGGAGGGGGACGTACAACGAGATCGAGGACAAAATCAATTACTATTTTTCATCTTTGACAAAGTAATTAAAGCCGTAGTGACTGGCTAATTCCGAGCGCACGGCTGCGCGGTGATGGATGTGGATTTACAGCCGGCTGGGCTGCGGCGCGCGGGGCCGGATTATCACTCGGAGCAGGCGGCGAAGGTGGGGGGACTCGTCCCTCGCCTGCGCCTCATCCCCTCCCGCCCGGCTTGCTTGCTTTATTTATTTATTTAATATACAGCAGCTCCAACCTCTGCACTTGGCAGGCGCTGACACCGAGCCCCGCGCACGACCCGCTGCCCCAGGGCTTGGTCCCTGTCTCCTCTCACAGCGGTGCTGGCCTCTCCGCCCGAGAGCGCCCCTCTAGGCGTCTTAGCTCGGATTTGGACCTGGCTGTCTGCTCGGCCCCTCCCTTCTAGGATCTTGCGGCTAGAAGTGGGGGGCAGGATGCAGAGAGGGGGCGGCGCCTCCACCAACCCCGCAGCCTCTCCTGCGCGTCACCCGCCTCTGCAGGACCTGACGTGCGGCGGCCCCACGCGGGAACCCAAGTGCGCACTCGGCTGGGGAGGGTCAGCGGGCGACACGTCAGGCCCGGGAGTCTGAGCGGGGGCGCCGGGCGTCACTGCTGCCCAGGGCCGCAGCTGGTGGAGGTGGGGAGGCCGGCAGGACTCCGCGTCCCCGCCTGCCCAGTCTGTGAGCCTCGGTGGACTCTCCCCCAGCTCCCAGCGCTTTGCGGGGGCTGCTCGGATGAAAATCGGGAAACGTCCAGACCTTTCCGAGTCGTGACTGTCCTTAGCACAAGGCCGAACAGGGACCGCAGCTGGAGCCCACACCTAACTGGGGGCGTGTTTGGTGACCCCACAGTGGGGCACCAGGGCCTGGCAGGCCTGCCCGCTACCCTTCTTAATCCCGGTCTCGCTCCTTATTGCAAATTGGGGTCTGCTTAGGAAGAAGCGCCCTGCAGGGCCCCCTCCCTGTCGCTGGTGTTTGGTGGCGCCAACCAGAGGAGGAGCCTTCGCCCTGTGCCTTCTGGCCCCCACCGTCTCAGGGCAGAAGCTCTGGAGCCCCTGCACTTTCTTTTCGGGCCTGGGCTACCTTGGGTTCCCAGAGTTTCAGAGCCTCAGTTTCCACAGATTTAAAATTGGGGTGAAGGAAAAGGGGATATAAAAAGAATTGCGACTCCATATGTCTATGTACCCTACGATGCATCGCAAACGTACCCTAATAAAAAATTTTAAGCTATAATAAATTGGGATACTTTCTTAAGGCCATGATCAATGTCAAATGCGCAAATGTCAATAAAAGTCCTTGCATCGCGGTCCAGTACTGTGATCTCAGTACATGTTAGTTCAAAGCCACAATCAAAAGCAGCCCAGACACAGCAAGCCGACACGAAGGCAGGCAAGGTCTCCACAGACAGCTCCCTTTCCTCCCCCTCCAAAGAGTGCACCCCGAGGGTTCCTGGCTGGCTTCGGAGGGGCCCCGCGTTGCCCTCGGTGCCCGCCGCAATCTGCCACCGCAGCCTCCGCCCGCGGCCTTGGCGGCGTGGCGCCTGCGTGGCTTGCAGACCTCTCAGCGGGATGCGACGGCGCGGACCCCGAGGCGGGGAACTGGGCGGCTGCAGCAGCAGCAGCCGCCAAAGGACACAATAATCTCTGCGGCTTCGCATCCGGAGGCCAGGGGTAAAGGCAGAAAGGAAGCCTTTTTCTCGAGAATCGCCTCTTCTAGTCTGCAAACGACCTCTGCTTGGAAAAGCGGTTTCCCTTTTTATCAGAGACTGCTTCGCACCAACGGGAAAGTCCATCTTCTCATCGCGCGGCCGCCCCCGGCCACGCGTGCCACGGCTGCAGTCCTCCTCCTGGCGGCTTCCCAGATGGCCAGCCCTGGCTGCGGATTGCTGGGGATCCTGATTTGGAGGGGCTTTAAGTCTGCGTTTTCGAATCAGATCTGCTCTGGTGAATTTTTATTAAGAGGGCAGCGAAGAAAGAATGGTTTTCCTTTGACTTTGCAAAGGGCCTGAGATTCAGTCAGTGTGCCAAATCATTTCCTTCTTATTTCCCTCAAATGTTTTCAAGAGAGTCTTAAAAACACAATAAAGACACCCAATGATATGCAGGATTTTCTTCTGGTAGTGTGAACACAGATGAAATGCACATGCAGACGCCAGATCTCAGCTTTTAAGCGAGAAATCCAGGATGCCTCCAAAACTGGGAGGGAAGAATTTGGAATCCGCTCACAAACCCAGGTGGGCACGAGCCTGTAAATGCAGGACCCGTGCCCGAAGCAGCCCTCCTAGAACTAGGGGCTAGGTGCTAACAGTGCCTACGTCGCTTTCTGGTTAATATTGGGGGATCTGCTGAAGATGGGGAGACAGCAACGGAATGTAGGAGAGGAGGAGGAGGGAGAGAAAAACTATGGTGATGTGGTCCCCTCCCCCGTCCCCCCCCCCACAGCTTCCCCGGCGGCTGCGCGCTGGAGCCCGCCTTGGGTGCAGTGGGACGTGTCCCTCCCATGCTTCCCTTAATTAGGAGGAGACAAAGTTTCGTCGTCCCCTCCCCTCGGGTTTGGTTTAGTAATCAACCCCACATGAGTCACGACACACGCACAGCCCCCTCCCGCCCCGGTGACGCCTGGCCAGCGTACTCCAGGCTGTTGGCCCTTTAAAACTCCAATCCAAAGGGGTAATGATTTATCAAACTTGTATTATCAAGAAGATGTCCACCGAAGGGCACCTTGCTTTGCGCTGACGCAAACCTGGCCTTTCCCAAGGAGATATAGTAAGCGCCTCTGCTGCCAGAGCCGAGAGCCCAGCCTCTTGGTCCATCGCGGGTTTCAGCCCACGAGTTCCAGCTCTTGCCAGGGTCAGAGAGGTGAGTGTCAGCTTGTGTTCCTCTAAGAGGGAAGGGGGCGAGTGGGATCAGAAGGACAGGTTCGTTTTGGATATTTCTGTTTGACATGTCTGTGCCTTGGGCTGGAGCTAGCAAAGAGGACGGTTCTCGAAGCTGTGTTTGTGTCTGTGAGCGTCCCTTTGAGGTCAGAAAGGTTTCCCAGGCGGCAGAACTCCAGGGTGCAAGGTTCCGGGAGACCCTGAGCGCTGTCCGAGGTCCTGAAAAACCCGCCGCCGGTACTCAGGCTAACCGTTCTGGGTCCTCTAGCTAAGGAGACAGGAATGCTGGCTGGAGTTGAGGTGCTTAGATTTGGTGCAAATGAACAAAGTTCTGATCAGCCCGTTTGTGAAAGAGTTAGACAAGATCCATGAAGGTGAGGTGACAGCACTATGACTCTTCTTACGGTATAATGATAATTATTAGGGTTCATGAATAGGAAGCCCTGAGAGATCAAGGGGAGAAAGCGGGTGAAACATCCATGGCTAGGGATTCTTTTCATTGGACAGTCAATGAGAAGAAAGCAGATAAAAACTATTCACGAGTTCTTGTCTCCAAGGTAGAAGCAAAAGCAAATGAAAGACTTTGTATGTCCTTACACATTTCTGTGGAACTGCAAGTCGGTGTAGGTTGTGTGTGACAAGCACGGCTACTACTCTCTAAATCTGGTTTATGGCTGCTGCTGTGGGTTTTTTGTTAGGGTTGTTTTTGATCTCAACCCTCATTCTTGCCTTTGGTACCTGGCAGTCAGGGGCGGGTTTGGAGCGTAGAGATTCTCACCACCGATGTGGCCTCCAGCACTTTCTGGTGCCAGGGTATCAGCTTTGTGGCCACAGCTTGTCTACCAGGAAAAAAATGCAATGTGCATTGTTGAATGACAAAGGAAATGGGGCGGAAAATTAAAGAATCTTTCTACAATAGTGGTGGGGACTTGGGTACCCTACAGTCGTGATTTGAAATCCAAAGAGGGCAGCGAGCCCTTGGCTTGATGAACCGATTTCCACTCTCCTTTTTCCTCCTAAGAAACATTTTTGGGCCTCTTTTCGTAGTTTATATTCCGACAGGGAGGAAATATTAGCTTTCCTGTATCATCTGGTTATGAAAGAGAGCGGAAAACAGAATTACTGATTGCAGTGGTGAAGGAAAGAAGAAAATCCCGATTCTCTTTGCAACCTGAGATACGTCTTGGATCTGAGTTGGGAACCTTTCCTGTGGCAGACACAGATTTTTTTAAAGCCGCTGTGACTCTCCTTTCCTTTTCTTTCTTTCTTTCTTTTTTTTTTTTTTTTTTTTTTTTTTTTTTTTTTTTTGCACACGAACTTGACGTTGTGTTTGCAGGATTGCAGTGCTCCCAAGGACATGAATAAGCAACCAGCCAGCAGCCTGGAGGCCGCGTCGCCGGGCCACTGGGACAGCCCGCGCGCACCCAGGACGAGCCCGGAGCAGGAGCTTCCCGCGGCCGCCGCGCCGCCGCCACGTGTGCCCAGGTCCGCGTCCACCGGCGCCCAAACTTTACAGTCCGCGGACACGCAAGCCTGCGAGGCCGAGCGGCGGGGAGCCGGCTTCTGCGCGCTCGGTAGTCTGCAGGCACAGGTGGCCTCGGCGGCCCTGCGGGACTTGAGCGAAGGCGCGCAGGCCGCCCAGGCTCCTAGTGTTGCCGGGACCGGCAACGCGCTGCACTGTAAGATCCCGGCTCTGCGCGGCCCGGAGGGGGACGCGAGCGCGAGCGCGGGCAAAGGCACCCTGGAGCGGAACAGCACCGCGGCCGTGGGCTGGGTAAACATGAGCCAGAGCACCGTGGTGCTGGGCTCGGACGGAATCGCGTCGGTGCTGCCGGGCAGCGTGGCCGCGCCTGCCACCCAGGTAAGCAGGTCGCACGCGGCCCGCGCCACCTCCTGCTCTCCAGTGGCGCGAGGGAGGCGAGCCGGCCGAGGGGTGCACGTGTGCCGAGGGGGGTGGGATGGCAGTGCCCGGGCCGGACGCGGGAGGCAGCTTTGGGGCTTCGGAAGCTCGCGCTGCGCTGGGGTCCAAGGTTGGGGCAGGAGGGCTGCGGGGATCCTGCCGGAGGGGAGGCGACATCCCCCTTCCCAGCCTGGGTGGATCCAGGAAGCCTTTGAAGCGGATAGATTCTACTCCTCTATTCAGAAATGACATCCTCCCCTGTCAGCGGCTGGGCTTAAATTCTTTTAAAAATCTTAATTAGAAAGAATCCCATAATAAAAGGTCGGAGTTGCGCGCGTGCAGGACTCGTGGAGAAGGATGTGTGCTCTGTCTACAGCCCTCACACTGCGAATTACCTTAGGCCCTGTGAGCCCACCAGAGACTGCACCGAAGCTAAAGCTAAAGCTGCAGGCCAGTCTGTTCCTGGTTTTTCTTTTTGCCTGAGCCCTTCCAAAAGGTGTCTAACTTTGCCATCACAATTTTGCATTTTTCCATAACGTGGACGCCTTTAAGGGTCCAAGTTTCAGGCCCACCCACCCAGATCTATTCGTGCATTTGATCTCTTGTTGCCTAAAGGCATGAAAACCCCATAGAGCAGATCCTTGAAGCCTGGCTGGGGTTGAGGCAGCAGCGCCCCCTCTCTGGTCCTTCACAGGATTTGTTTCCATTTGTCCAGGGTCAGGGCTCAGTGCTCCTTCCTAGCTGCCCACCTGCCCCATTTCCTCCCTTCCTCTGGCTCAGGGACAAGAAGTGTGTCCAGCAAGGAGCAGGCAGCCTGGCTCCTAACCTCTGCGTGGGAGCAGTCACTCTGGCGTTCGTGGACACACACACATATGTACACATACACATACGTATACACACCTGCATCCTCACATCCACAAGCCCATGTGACAGGAGCTCAGCTGTTACAATAACTAGAAAGGAACAAAAACGTAGCTGGTCCCACTCACCTCGCTTTTGGGGTCTATTTCTAGAGCGCTGATGTATGGGTTTTAGCTGCACTGTGTGACCCCAGGTAGAATAGAAAACGTGTTTTGCATGCCAGGCTTAACCTCCGCACTGCGGCAAAAGGAGCCAAAACTCCCACCCTTTCAGCCCTGGAGGATGGGAGGGTGGGGATGCAGCTGAGGCTCCTGTTCGGGAGGAGGTCAGGGAGGATCAGATTCCCAGGAGTACTTCTGTTTCAGCTCTGCCCACGGCTCTTATTGTGCCTTTTGAGCACCCACCCTGGTGGGCTCCCCTATCCCGGAGTTTTCTCTCCTGACAGCTGCAGACCCCTCCAAGACCCTTAGAATGGCACGGGGCAGTCAAGATTATGACAACAGGAGGAAGAGGAGGAGGAGGGTGACTGAGGAAGTGGGTGTTGTGCAGTGGCCTGAGTCTCTCGAGGAGTGTTTTTAGGGTTCATCTGAGGTGGCCTCATGTGAACCTCTCTGCTCAGGAGTGAGGCATTCTGGACCCAGGTACTGTCCCAAGAAAGCATCACCCTGTCAACTCAGAGAAGAAGGCCAAAGACTACAGAGCGCTGGAGCTGGCCAGCACCTCAGGAGGCAGTGATTCTAAGCCCTCATCTTAGTTATCTCTGTGCTTAGTAATAAAGCTTAGACTAGCACTCAGGCTTTCAGGCCAACTGACTCTGATGACACCTACTTCCCCGACCTCTCTCCGTTCACCGCCCAATCCCCATCCTGCCTCTCTCCCTGGCCCCAAGGAGAAGGTGTTGCTGTAAGTTAGCTGATCTGACAGGTTTTGCCCTCAGCCTCTGCAGAGACAGTGAGGCAAGGGCTCTGTCTGGCTTGGAGCAGTGCAACTCTCTTTCTGGCCTTGGCACACACTTCCAAGAAGAAAGGGCTGAGGGGTGCAGTGAGGTTTGGGCTCTTTGGGGTTGATGGAACTTGCTTGCTGGAAACTCCAGGCATGATGTTGGGGGCCTGCTTGCCAAATGAACTCTTGGTAAGGGTTTGGGGATGGAGGCACCTGCTTGCAATCAACCTAAAGGCTCAGGGTTTGGGCGCTGCTTGCTGGTGACCCTGACTGTAGGCTTTGGGGACTGGGGGGTGGAGGTCTGTTTGAGATGGATCTGCAGATCAGCACTGGAGCTGCTTGCTGAGACCCTTGATGCAGGGTTTTGGGGTGAGGGATCTGCTTGTACATGCATCCTTTCTTTGGAGTTGGGGGTCCTGCCTGCCGATGCATCCTCTGCATTCTCGGTTGAAAAGTTGGGGTTTGCTTGCTGGGAAGGACCTGCCACTGGGGGCAGGAAGGGTGGAATGCAGCCTGCCTGCCACTCAGCCACCGGGAGGGGGGCTGTTATCCGACCATGTGCTTTTCCGCCCCCAGGAGGACGAGCAAGGGGATGAGAATAAGGCTCGAGGGAACTGGTCCAGCAAACTGGACTTCATCCTGTCCATGGTGGGGTATGCAGTGGGGCTGGGCAATGTCTGGAGGTTTCCCTACCTGGCCTTCCAGAATGGGGGAGGTACGGCTTTTTGGCTTTTCAGCTCTTTCCACCTGCGGGGTGGGCACTGGGCGGTCTGAGGGAATCTGGAACCTTAGGCGGGGAAGTAGGGGACACTCGGGGAGTCTCCTTGAACTCAGTCCCATCCCATGTACCCTTGTGCCTAAGATGGGCAGGAGTGACAGGAACTGGTTGGATGATCTGCAGGTGGGGCTCATGAGAAGCCTGGGGCTCCATGACCCTCCACTGGCCCAGTTTGGAGGACTGGGTGCCAAGCCGAGTGGACACTGACCAGGGATGCTTGGACTCTGGCTGTTTAATATTTAGGAGTCAGCAGCCCTCTTGGTATCCAATGGAGTTTAGAGCCGGAAGCAGGTGCAAATGAAGGATAGTCTCAAATCTGAGCCTGGAAATCTGTTTCCCATATGCAAAAAGACTCCTTGATTCCACTGTACATCCTGCATTTGCTCTTGAACTTACGTGATACGTTGGGTCTTTCATACAAGGGAAGTTTTGCAAATGGGAAAAGGGTCTAGAGATGGATGGGGAGGGGAAGGGGAAGTGAAAAGAATTCAGGTGTGTTGGGCACAGGTACCCGCTGCAATCTTCATGTGTTGTAAACATGAATTAACTTTAAAATTCCTGAGAAAGATCCCGGAAACTGGAGCCTCCATAAGAGACTTTGAGAATGGGTCCAGGTTGTGTGGAAGGCTGGGTTTGGGGGAGCCAGGAGATGTGAGCTGGGAGGGGCTGGGGGGTGACCACTCTCAGAGATACCCCGCCCCCGCACACACCTCCTTTAGTGTTTTGATTTTAGCAAAGCCGTTTTCATTTGTCCTAACTGGGTGAGAATGAACATTGTTTCTGGGATGGGAAGAGGGAGATGGTGGGCATTCACCAGCAGCTGGGCCACTGGACTCCACTGTACCTGTGTCAGCTCCCCTGGGGTCTGGCAAGTTGCCCTCCAGCAATAGGAATTTCCTCCAAGAAACCCTACACCTTCTTTTGGAGACCAAAGGGGTTAGAAGCACCCTTTCACCCCATAGCTTTCTGCAAAATTTTTATGTATTCTTTGTCCTTTGGGTCTACTCCAGGCCAGATTCTGTGCAAAGGGAGAGACAGATGCTTCGCCAGGAGCCGATTAAATCGGAAAAAATAGATGTCTGCCCCCAACCCCTCCCGCCCCAAAGTAGGACGCGTTGACAAGGACTGATGAGCACTGCGGAGCTTTTGCCACCAGGGGTGCCCTGGAAGCCAGGCCCAGCGCCGGGCGGGCGCGCGCTGGGTTTCCCTCTGTTTTCCCCTAGGGAGTCCTCAGAACTAGGTGCCCGAAGCAGCCATCAGGAGGTGGTAGAATCAGGCTTCTCGGGACTGGAAGGGGTTGATAGCGGGATGCAGGGTGCCAGGGCAGCAGAGGGACCCCGGCCCAAAACAGTGCTCTGCTGTGCTCTCGGGGGATCTCCAAGCGCGGGTCTGTGCGCGCCGCCCTGGGGGTTCTGGGTTCTCAGCGGCTCACTGCGGCTGGCCCCGCAGCATCTGAGTCAGGCGGGAGGAGGGCTCGCCCTTCTTTCTCAGGAGCAGAAGGAAGGCACCATGGACAGCTTTCTCCAGAACGCTGCCCAGAGGACATGAAGCAAGTTCCTCAGTGTTACTCTCCTCCACTCCTGGCTGCTGCTGGGCCTTCCCAGCCTGGAGACCCCTCCTCCCTCTGCAGGAAGGGACAGGAAGGTGGGGGTGGGCAATCCCACAGCAGAGGAGCAGCTTTCCTATAACGAGCACAATGGTTGGGCAGCGCCATCTCTGGTCCCTGGCTGACCTTGTCCCACGCATCGGCACTTCCAGGTCAAAACCTCTTCAAGCACCTTTAAAGAACCTTGAAGGGAAGGAGCCTAGAGAACCCAAGTAGCCTGGGGAGGCCTCTAGGTGCTATGTGGTGGACTGGGTATTCTGAGGGGGGAGGAGATGCCAGGTAACCAGCTTTGGAGGCTTGCAGTCTAGACAAGACACCTGCGTAAACATCAGCGTCTGCCATGGCCAGTCCTGTGCTGGACATAGGAGGAACACTTGGAGGAGAAGGGCTATATGAGCTACCCAGCAGGATGGAAGGGACTTCACTTGTGCAGCCAGAGGTTGAGAGCTGTGTGGTGCCTGGTGGGGGCCATCTGGGATGCCCAGTGGGTAGCACAGGCCTCAGCCTGGTGGGCAGAGGTGTGCAGATGATTCAAGTTCCTTGGAGGTGGGCTGTCAGTCTAACTTGGCAGGGCTTAGGTCCTTGGTGCTCTACACTCTGATGGGACATCACCAGGTCTCCTGCAGACAGACCTGCAGGCCTGCAGGAATGAGCCAAACCATGGAATCGTTAAACCCTGAAACAGCTTGATTTGGAGAAATTGAAGCATTATATAGAGTAAAAGGCCACTAGCACATAGTGGGACATAGAAACACTCACATGTGCACCTTTACAGTTTTTGGAGGAGGGTTTTAACATGTCCTGTGGGTGCCTGTTGACCGGGAATGTCAGAAGTTTTTCCAGAAAGGAGCTCACTAAAGAACCTTTGGGGACTGAGAGGAAGCCCAACCCCTACTGCAGAGGGTTAAGGTGGGCCTGAACCCTGTCTTCACCTCCCAGACTCTCTCTCCTGGCTCTCTCTTTCCAAGGTGCTTTCCTCATCCCTTACCTGATGATGCTGGCACTGGCTGGGTTGCCTATCTTCTTCCTAGAGGTATCCCTGGGCCAATTTGCCAGCCAGGGGCCAGTATCTGTGTGGAAGGCCATCCCAGCTCTCCAAGGTGAGTCCAGACAGCTGTCCACCCTGCCACCACACACTCCCTTGGGGTGGGAGATCTCCTCAGCAGAACTCACCCCATCCTTGCTATGTTTGATCCTTCTGAAGAACAGTCCAAGGTCATCTCCACCCCTCCTGAGTCCCTTGCAGAATGCCTCAATGTCCCTGGTGGACACAGAGTGCACTTTACTGTCAGTATACCTATCCATACAAGAGAGTCCAGACCTAGATGCCCACCCTGTGTCCAGCTGTAAAAATGCCATTGCACCTGGGATGGGATGAACCATGAAATTTTTGCTTCCACAGGCTGTGGCATTGCGATGCTGATCATCTCTGTCCTCATAGCCATTTACTACAATGTGATCATTTGCTACACACTTTTCTACCTGTTTGCCTCCTTTGTGTCTGTGCTACCCTGGGGCTCTTGCAACAACCCTTGGAACACGCCAGAATGCAAAGACAAAACCAAGCTTTTACTCGGTAAGTCTGGGCATGTTTTAGGTGTTTGGGCATTCTGAACTATTCATTCCTCCAACAGAGGTTAACTGCACACATATTATGCAACGGCTGGATTTGTGCTAGGTTCTGGGCACACAGAGACGAACTCAAACAACCAAACACACATAACTCTAAAGTTTAAAAACCTCATGTCTTAGAGAAGGGCTCATCACTTGTGTGTGTGTGTGTGTGTGTGTGTGTGTGTGTGTGTGTGTGCGTGCGCGCGCACTCAGATATAGCTGTATGTTTGTTTAAAATGCAGACTCAAGTCCTACCTGGGATGTGATCGGTTTTATTCAGTTGGGTAGGTCCAGGAAATTTGCATTTTTATGAAGCAGTCTAGGATCTTGTTTTCTCTCATGGGGTGTCTGCTAGGGTAATAGTCTCACCTCGGGGGCCGTTAGCAGCCCCTCCCTGGGTGAGGGCTCTTGTGTTTCACCAAGAGCCTGCAAATGCTGTTGATTTTAGAGTCTAGGAAATGGAAGCAAGGTATCCCAGCGCCACACTGCACAAAATACCGCTCAGAAGCAGACACGTAGGCCTAGACCCTTGGACGCACCTTCACAATGCCTAGAAGAGGGGAGGTCTTCCGGGAGGCCCAGGATGTTCCTGGAAGACAGTTTGAGGCATTTGAGAACTTTTGAGAACTGTGTTGAGAACAGTTACCTGTGATCACTCTCTCTTGTCGGCCTCCCTTCCAGTCTGCACACTGCAGAATGAGGACATTACTGACCTTTGGATTATTCTGAGGGCACAAGATGGTTCTTCTCTTCCAGCCCAAGAGAGATGGGTGTGGTCTAAAGACTAATTTACACTGGACCATTTTTACACCCATGTGCACCTACATCCACACCACGCGTGGCTTCCACCTGGAGAAACTTTGAATAAGACTGAAGAACAACCAAGACCAGAGACCCTTGCCCATGAAATTCTAACATCATGTCTTACTTAGGCCCAGCAGGACATGGACTTGCAAATGTCCCCAGATGTGTGAGTGTCTAGTTATCCAGCTAAGAGGAAGTGCCCTTTAGCCCCTCAGGCCCTCGTGTTTTCCTCCTCCTGACTTTCCCGATGATGGTTCCACACACGACAGCAGCTGCTCTCAAGTCTGGCTGCTCTACATCAGACACATCTGGGAGCCAGCGAATCCAAGCATCCCTTAGAGCTCACTCCATATCATTCACTCTTGACTCCCTGGGGCTCGAAGCAAGGAATCTGCATTCTTAACGGTCCCCAAATGCAACCAAGGGTAGAAATCACGGGCTGCATCCCCTGCCTCCTTTTTTGCTGTTTCAGTGATGGAGGTGGAACCCAGGGCCTCTGCCATGGAGGCACACCCAGCCCCTGCGTGTCCTTTAGTTATGCTGCCCTTACTCAGCTTGGGAATTCAGCGGCCAACTTTCCCTGGCAGAGCAGCTCTGGAGAGCTGCAGTCTGGGGGGACCCCATCTGGTAGCTGTTTGCAGACTCCCAACCAGAAATCGGTGTTGGAATGGCTTCCTGGGACAGGCTGCCGTGTCAGGCTGAGGTTGTGCTCCAGGGGTGGGATCCGGGATGGAGCGGTGACTCACAGTCATGGGTCACCCCAAAGCCCGGCTTGTCCTTTCCACTGTGCTTTCTCATTCTCTGCTTGCTGGGGCAGGGTTATTGCGTTGCTCCAGGCTCACGAGACACTTCCCTGCGGACTAACCTCAGGAATCACACGAGCCCCAGGGAACAGTGACCTGTAGTTGTCCTCCAGTAGGACAGGAGTTGAAAAACATTGTTCTCTTCTGCTAACAATAGCTGCTAGTATTCATGCACTTAATAACACTAATTATAACACCAATCACTACATGCCAAACACCAAGTTCAAACCTTTATATGGCATAAGCAATGTTAAGATGAACTCATCAATATATAAGCTCTATTGTTGTTTCCATATTACAGGGAAAAAAAAAAAAACCGTTAAGCTTACAGAGTGTGGTGGTGCATGCCTGTAATCCCAGTGCTTAGGTGGCTGAGGCAGGAGGATTGCTGTGAATTTGAGGCCAGCCTAGGCTAAAAAGTGAGTTCAAGCCCAGCTGAACTGCCTAGTGAGATCCTGCCTCAAAAAGACAAAAACAAACAACACCCAAAACAAAGTAAAATGAAACAAACAAACCAACAAGAAACAACTTGAGCTAGAGGTCATAGAGCTGGCTGTGTGGTAGACCTGGGATTTGAACCCAGGTTTGCTAACCCTAACTACTGTGCTAAATGCTTCCCAATCTACCAAGCAGCTTCACAGATATTTCTGTCATTTCTCAAGGTTACAAAGGGCATGTGGCCTGATCACTATTTTGTAGGTCACAGAGCAGACTCTAGGGCTCAAACTGTAAATTGCCAGGTAGAACCAACAGTGTAATTTGGGGTGCAGCCCCCCGGGCCCTCTGCTTATCCAGGTAGGTCCTTGCAGAGGCTCTATCCCATAAGACCCTGCAAAGTGACCTCCCCCCAGGTGTTGTCTACCTGTCACTTGGGGTTGAAATAATAATGACAGTTTGTGTGAGCAGCAGCTGAATTTAGTAATTCCACTGCTGTCTTCAGGGAGGAGGGAGGAATGGGTAAACACTACAGGAGACGGTTAATTACAACCATGCCTTCAATATTGGAAAACAGTAGAGCTTCTTAAAGGAGTGGCCAAAATTCAGACAATAGTTGAGTAATGCCATAGTTCAAATAGATTATCATTCATTGGTAGGATGAAGTATTCTATAGTTATTAGATATGAATATTCATGAACATGGGAAATTCTTGCATATCACGTTAAGTGTATGAGTAAGATTCTGATTTGTACTATGATGTTATCTTTATTAGCAATATGGAACACATAGGAAGGTTATATACAAGATACTAACAGTGGTGGATTTGAGGCCATCCCTTTCCATATGCTTTGTTAAGGGTTCTTTTTGTTGAGTCTCCATGGATGTGTGTGCATATTTTTAAAAGCAAGATCCACTGGCTGGGCCAGGCAGGTGGCTGGGGGTCTGCAGGCAGCACGACCTTGCCCTGGTATGGGATTTGTGGAATTTCCAGTCTGGCTTCCAGGAAAGGCCTCAAATCGACCTGTGCAGACAAAAAAAACGGTGCTTATTCAAAGCACAAAGAGACAATGGACATTTTTCACTCTGATTAGTCACTGAAAGCCAGTGACCAGGCTGGGAAAACCTGTCTCCTTTCTCAGCCTGGGCCGGATTTTTTTTTTTTTTTTTTTTTTTTGTTAGAAAAATGAGGTAGCAGCCTCCCGTGTTTCTCTGTGCGGCCCACTCGTATCATTTTGGTGGCATCTGTGTGGGATCTGGTCCTGGGCTCCCGGCTTTCCCTACAGTGCTGTGGGGTGACTGGGAACAGGCGATGGTGGCCTGAGGCATAGGCACAGGTGGCTTTAGGTCTCCTTGCTCTCTCTCGGACAAGTTGCAGTCCCAAGTCGTCTCCCGGCGCTCCCCTATGACCTCCTGGCGCACCCTTGCCTGGAGGAGACTGGCGTTCACTGCAGTGGGCAGCTTGGGTCGCTGTCAGGGCTGCTGGGCACGTGCCGCGTGAGCGCTGTGGTCACCGTGGAGATGCCTGGGTGCAGCACTTGATAGGCCCAGAGAAAGGCGCTGCGTCTGCAGCCCAGAGAGGTGACTTGGGCAGTATTTTCCAAGGTGACTTTTGCATTGCACTCTGTCTTCCTGGGGTGCCTCAGCGCTCCGGGCATGGGCATTTGTTACAGAGACCGAGTCAGCTGTCCCCTGCTAGGGGAGACCAGGAGCTCCCTGGGTCACTGCAAACGGGGACACCATCCCAGCCATCCATCCCTATTTCTTGAATGGCTTAATTATTAGGATTTTAATTAAAGGGTCCCGCTCCTCCCGGGTCTGTCATGTGCTTTCACTGATTAATTATTGCCCAAGAAAAGACAATCCCGTTGCGGCAGATTTGCAGTTCAGCCCCCGCGTCACCGCGGTTCTTTGGGGGTGTTGCCTTTCTTTGTTTCGGGGTGCTGGGCCTTGCAGCTCCGATGAGTGGTCCATCCTCCCGGAGGCCCCAGGCGCCGGGAAGCGCGCCCCTGCCACCTGGTGCCCAGAAGCGGTACTGCAGGCTGCGGCCACTGCAGCCGCTCAGGTCTCGCGACCTTGCTGGGCTGCCGCGGGCGGTGACGCAGGCTAGGGCTGCTTCCTGGAGAGCCAGAGTGCCGTTTCCATTCCTGACTGCACTTCAGTGGACCCGGGAACTACATGGGACTGTTCTCACAGGGTGGAGACGTGGACAGAGGAGAGAACCGGTCCCGGCCTCAGGCAGGGCAGAGCTCCGGAGCCTGCGTGCTGTCTCGCTGTGCTCTGTGCTCGGAGGGGTGAATGCGGAGAGTGCCTGCCCTTTTCTGTCTTACGCTTTCTTTTCTTGGTGTTTGAAATACATTTTAACGCATTTCCTTTTTAAATTTTTGTTTGTTTGAGACAGGGTCTCGCTATGCAGTTCAGGCTGGCCTTAAACTCTCTTTGTAGCCCAGGCTGGCCTTGAACTTGCAGTGATCCTCCTGCCTTAGTCTTCCGAGTGTTTTACAGGCCTGTGCCACCAACATGCCTGGCTGTGTTCTAAATGTTGAGCTAGAATCTCACTGAGTTGCAGAGTGGCCTGGGCTGAGCTCAAAGGGTGGATCATGCATTCTGTTTAATGCAGCCTCTACCTCTCTGCATTGTCCCCCTTTTGGCTTCCTCGTGGTGTCATCATCCTGGACCCCGCAGGCAGGGAGTTCATGACTGCTGCTGTCTGTTTTATAGTAGAGCAATCAAGAGAATGGAATGCAGAGGAGGGGCAGTGTTCGTTTCATGGTTTGATGTGGGACCTTGGCGAGCTTCTGTGTGGCCGGGCACCAGCTTTCTTTCTTTGTAACACAGAGATCACTGCAGGGCATTGCTCACAGGGGCAGTGTGAGGTGTGAGGCTTAAAATGGTCAGTGCATTTGAAGTGCTTAGATCAGTCCCTGAGACCTGAGAGAGCCACCCAGTGGTGATTAGCTCTATTTGATGCTTTACAAAATAGTACCCTGGAGGATTAATTCTGGTGAACACTTCATATTTGTTACTTTCCTGTTGCTGTGACACAATACCAGACACACACAATTTAAAGGAAGAGAGGCTGATTCGGCTCACGGGTTCCCCTGGGTGCAGTCCATGGTTGGTGGCTCCCAGGCAGACACACCTGTGGAAGGGCCTGGTGGAGGAGAACTCATCTTATGGCAACCAGGAAAGTGAAGAAAGGAAGGAGCCAGGGGCAAGAACGCACCCTTCTGGGTCTCCCTGTCAGTGACCATCTCCACCAGGCCCTGCCCCTTCTACAGCCCTTTGGGCTGTGAACCCATCCATGGAGGAGTCTGTTGATGAGTGTGGCACCCCACCACCCGACTTTCCAAACGCATAAGACTTTTGAGGGACAGTGTGGTTCTAAACCCTAGTGCTATTCAAAATATGCATCCGTTTATCTGTTAGGAAGACATGGTGATACGGTCAGAGAGACTTCAGCTCATCCCTATTTAAGATAAAGACAATAATACACCCTTTCCAGGTTTCATGAAGACTCATGAGTGAATAGTTGTTAAAACAGTGTAGCGCGGTGCCTGGCACAGTGAGATTCACATGCGTGGCCCACTCCCTTAACCCCGGCATGAGTGACCTGTGGGACTGTGAGGGGCGTGACCCGGTGCTGTGGGATATTTGGGAGCATCCCTGCTTTCTAACCGTTGGGTTCCAGTGGTGCCTGGGCCTCCAGATGTGAAAGTTAACAACATCTGCAGACACAACCCAGAGTCCCATGGGGTCAGACCTGCTCAGGGTCCCCCACAGGCTCACCAGCTCCCCCGAGTGGTTGCACACTAGGGTTGGAAGGACACAGCAGAGCGTGCAGAGCAGTGACCATGTTGGCCACGGTGCAGGGCAGTGGGTCCCAGGCCAATGGCTTCCTCTGCAGCATCACCCCTCTTGGAGTCTGCTCGCCGGGGGCTGAGTCCATTTCTATGATCACTGTGGAACTCTAAGGGTCTGGGTTTGAAATCCGGTTCTCTTCCTCGTTAGCTGTGTGACTTGGGTAGTTATTTAATCCCTTTTTTAAGGTTTTGTTTTGTACTGGGGATTGAACCCAGGGTCATTGAACTGAACTTTTTCCCAACCCCTATTTATTGTTTCAGACAGGGTCTTTTAAAAATGTTTAAATGTTTTTGTCCGTGTTTACAGTTCATGTAGTGTACAATAAGCTTGGGGAGTGGTTACATGTAGATGTGACAGTTTTCTCTCTCTCTGTCTCTCTCTCTCTCTAATCCCCTTCCCCCTCTCTCTCCCTCCTGCCCTCTTGCCTCAGCCTCCCTGATGCTGAGGTCTGCAGGGCCACACCAGGCTGGGTTACTTAACCTCTTTCAGCCCATTTTCTCATTTAAAAAATGGGTCTAACGTATCACCCGCAAAGGCTGATGTAGGATTAAATGAAACAGTGCTTGCAAAGTGCTTAGCCTACCGCAACGTGTTCCCTCAGCTCGAAACCTGCTGTGGGTGCCTGATCAGGCTGTGGGCCTCAGGACAGACAGAACACAGTTCCGTGGTGCTTCTCCACGGGCCTGGCTCAGTCTGTGCCTGCCCAAAGTTACTTTGTGATTCCTGGCGGGTGGTCACAGGGAGACTGTGTGGCTGCATTCTGCACAGATTTGTTTCTGTCCCATTCTCTCTTATGCAGACTCCTGTGTTATCAGCGACCACCCCAAAATACAAATCAAGAATTCAACTTTCTGTATGTCCGCTTACCCCAACTTGACGATGGTTAACTTCACCAGCCAGGCCAACAAGACGTTTGTCAGCGGGAGCGAAGAATACTTCAAGTAAGGCGGCGGGTGTGCGTGTGCGGGCATGTGTGTGTGTGCATGTGCGCGTGTGTGCGTGTGTGTGTGTGTTGAAAGCCTCTGCAAGAAAGCCCAGTGGATTTACAAGCAGCTCATTCGCAGACCAGAGGCTGGAGGGCTGCGGGCCGGGCGACTCTCCTCCTCTTCCTCCCCATTTCTTACCTACCTGAATAAGCCCACGCAAAGACTTCTTCCCGATTTCGCTTCCAGAGGTAGACTGTGTGATGGCAAGTAGGGACAGAGTCAGGGCTGCTGAAATTCACCACGCAGATGAAAGAGGAAGCACTTTATTTTATTTTTATATTTATTTTGGAACGGGGGATTGAACTCACGACCTTGCACTTACCATGTAAGTGCTTAAGCCACTGAGCTAAATCCCCATCCCCCAATTTTTTTCTTTTACTTTACTTTTAAAATGCTTATTAGCACTCGCGTACTCAGGACACGGTGTTGACAGGCGCTGTGAGGAGCTGGGCCCTGTGCAGAGCACAGCGCGATTCTTTTTCTGCCCCTCCCTTCCCCCCTGGCTGTGTCTCCGCCCCGACCTCCCTGCTTCCTCTAGCTCTGAGGAAGAAAAATTTTATAACTTTGGTCTAATGCTATCCACGACACTTTCAGTTTGCAAGGTCATTTTTCTCACTCATATTTCAGAAATGAGAGGTAAAAATAAAAGTCAAGATCACAGTTGTAGTTTAAATAAGAATTATTTTCTTTCTTTTTTTCTTCTACTTTATCTTAGTTTTGTACTTCTACATGTGTCATTGCTTTTTTTTTTTTTTTTCTTTTTCTTTTTCTTTTTGTGGCACTGAGGATTGAACCCAGTGTTTTCCGACTGAACTACAACCCCTGGCAATGTTTATTTTTTTATTTTAAGGCAGGGTCTCAGTAAGTCACTAGTTGCTCAGGCTGAGCTCAAATTTGTGATCCTCCTGCCTGTCTCCCTGAGAATGGATCCCAGACATGTGCTTATATCTGTGTTGCTATACATTGACATCACGTCTGTGGGTCATGAGAAAATCCTTAATTCTCAGAGAAATACTTAGTAAAGTTCATGCAGTTGTTTTTAGGGGAGGCAGAGAGAGCCTGGCAGAGGTAATGGACTCAGAGGTCCTCCGGGGGCCTGGCAGGGGACTTAGCAGAGCGAAGTACAAATTGGAAAGGCTGCAGAGAATGGTGGGGGCCTGGACCCCGAGGAAGATGCCAGCAGTGTGCCAGGCAGGCGGGGATACTCAGCTCAAGCTCGTTGCTGCCTGGGGAATGAGGACCGGCACCACGCAGCCTCAGTGGTACAGAAGTTCACTGGACACTCACATCATCCCTCTCATTTAAATGTTAGTCACATACTTCAGATAGAACACGGGAGCCCGTTCAACCCAGCCACCTGGGGCCTTTGGTCTGTGACCTTTACTTTTCCTAAGAAACAGTGACCACCAATGCTTTCCCATTCATCTCGATTGCTATTCTCTCCCATTTCAGGTTTTCTCTCCTTCCCGGGCTCAGGTTACGGGTTGTACCCTGTGAGACAGAGGGAGAGGATGGTAGAGGACAGCTGGCCACCATGCGGCAGTGCGGTGGCTTTGGGGTCTCCCGGGCACAGAGATGCTGGGCCTGGCCTCTGAGACTGGACAAAGCTGACCCCACAATCTGCACAGTGAGAGGCATGGCTGGTGCCTGACTCACAAACACACTTCTGGTGGCCTCTCCTCATCCCTTGGGGCCAGTGCTGGTTTCCAAGGAGCAATGTCCTGGGGAGATTTGTGGGAAGCTGTGTAAGACCTCTTATTAAATCACAGCTCAGCTGACATGGCCCAGGTGCTATGTAACTGATGGTCAGGGGTTTTACCCACGTTGGGATGGAACACCGGGAAGGTCCTTTTCACCACTTGGGAGACACAATCCCCAAGGTTGGGCCTTAGAGCCTGGGCCATCTTGTGTGGCTCAGGGGCCCAGGTTTCTCTGATGTTGCCACTGGGAGAGGCTCTGTCTGCATGCAGCTTGGCTGCTGCTGTTTTGAAAGGTGAGCTGTGTGCCCACAGGCCTGGTGAGCTGGCCAGAGCTGGGGACTGGCAGGGCCGGGGCAGCACTGCCATCCCCTGTCCCTCAGCATCTCAGGGCCTTTGTAGGCCCCGAAGAGTGTAGATTTCAGCTGGCCCTTTGAGGAACTCTGATAAACCCTGCAGGATGCTGGCTAGCTTGGCTCTGTGGGAAGCGACTATCTGACTCTGCTGGGGACTCTGTGTCCTTGGGCTGCCTCGCATCCTTGGGGTCCAGGCTGCCCTGCTGGCCCCAGGCCAGGCTCCATCTGCCCACAGGGAGGCAGGAGAGGCCAGGCTGTGACTTCGGCATTGGCCTCACTGACACCTGGGTTGCCAGTGGCAACACAGATGCTAAGGGCCCTCTGCATGGGCAGCTGCTCCTCTGCCTATGAATCTGACCCTTGAGTGAGGTTGGAGCAGCCCTGTCTTACACCCTGACCTTTTGGACTAAGATGCAGGCTGTCTGTCTGTCTCTCTCTCTCTCTCAGCAGCACTAAGGATGGATTGATCTCAGCCTTTCTATTGAGCTACACCCCCAGCCTTTTCTTTTTATTCTTTTGAGGTAGGGTCTTGCTAGGTCAAATAAAGTGTCAGAGCTGGGCTTGAACTTGGTATATTCCCACCACAGCCCCCAGAACGCTGGGATCACATCACCCGGCCTGGCTTGTGCAAACATTATTTTGTTTTTTGTTCTTTGAAAGTTTAAAAGAATATGTATTAAAGTAAAAAGCACACTGAGTTAGTCCCTATCACCACGGTCTCCCTCCTGTGAGCACGCTCCTCCCACTGTGTTTGCCACTTCCTGAAGCGGTTCTGCAAGCCCTTGCTCATGAGCACCTTTGGCTGCAGCTGCCTCGGTGTCCTGACTCAGTTCAAAACATGTACATCTCATGGTCATTTTGGATTCGAGGAGGAGCTGGAGGGTGCACAGGGAACAGATCCAGAGGAGGAGATGCGTGAGGTCACACTGATGAAGGTGAGGCTGTGCTTGGCCCACGTTGTGGTTTTTCCTGGAAACTTATCCCAGAGAGACTGTCAGAGGCAGGAAAGTCTGATATGTCAGCGAGATGGGCTCTGGATCTCATAGTTGTTCTTCATTTGTTTAATCCTCTTCTGAAGCCAGGTCTGCTATATCGATGAGGATGATATCTGCTCTAGCAACTTGCCTAGTAGCTTCACTGCTGAGTCCATCAGGGTTTCCCCTGCGAAGTGTTTTAATCCAGATTTTGAACCCACAACAGTTAGGATACCATTGAGATAAGTGTCACTCCCTAGCTCAGCATCAACCCAGTATCCAGAAGGCATAGCACAAGGATCTGCTGACCCAGTGATCCCTAACAGTGTGTAAGCAAATTTCCCTTCTTCTGTATCAAATTCGCAATACCTCTAAGACCACTGTCCCTTCACTAAATTCATCTAAAATAACTGCTATTCTATTACTGTGTTGCTCTGTTGAAATGTAGCTCAGTGGTGTCCTCTCAGCACCTCAACACCCGGTGGTCACTGTGCCTGGGATCTTAGCACTGGGCCAGGTTCTTCCTCTTCCTTTCTCTGCTTCCTCTCAGTGGGAACCAATTCAGGACAGTCCTCCTTGGCTGCTATGTTTTTGTCTTTTTGAGACAGGGTCTCACTATGCAGTTTACTTTGTAACCCATGCTGGTCTTGAACTGTCAACAATCCTCCTGCCTCAGCCTCCCAAGTGCTGGGATTACAGGCATGTGTCACCATGCCTGGCTTTGTGCAAATTTTTAAAATTTAAAATTATGCAACTATTTTTGAATAGCATTATCATAAAAGAATAGAACAGTGCAGTAAATACAGAAATCATCCCTGATGGTTAAGAATTCTGATTGCACTTTGGGGGCAGTTGCAGGTGGTGCTGGGTTGGTTGCTTTGCACAGAGTCCTGTGTGGGCCACGTGAGTCCTCCCCGCATTTCACTAAGAGCAGGGAGATCCAGGCGGTATTGCAGCAGAGCCCAGACCCACATACCCCTGGAAGTTGCTGGGCCCGAAGTTCTTGCCTCTGTGGGGAGACCAAAGTGTGGAGATCGTCACCTTCTCTTTTTTTCTCTCTCCTCCCGTGTCCCTTCCCTCTTGCCGATGCTCAGGTACTTTGTGCTGAAGATTTCTGCTGGAATTGAATATCCTGGCGAGATCCGGTGGCCACTAGCCTTCTGCCTCTTCCTGGCTTGGGTGATCGTGTATGCATCCCTGGCTAAAGGAATCAAGACTTCAGGAAAAGTAAGAATGGGGATTTACCGGGGTAAGGAAAACTCCCAGACCACCCAGGAGTGGTGGCTTTGTAGAACAAGTGGGAAGAGAATCGGTAGATTTGGGCACCAATCCTGGCTCCACCCTGCACCAGCGGTGGCCCGTGGGCAAGCGACTTTGCTCCCATCTGTAAATGGGGTAAAAGCACCTTCCCGACAGGGCTGTGTTAAGGACTCAGTGAGGCAAACGTATATGGAGCCCTCTAGGTGTGACCAGCACTGTCTTGAGTTTCTGTCCATTCCTACCCGAGGCTGCCTCTCTTTCTGCACACTGAGCCACCCTGATATAAAACTCTGCAATCTATGCTGCTGGCTTCATGCCTCTTGATCCAGCTGCCAGGTCAGCTATTGCTTCTGCCAGGAAGCTGGCTGAGGACCGAAATGGTAGAGTGGGCTCCTTCTCGATGGTGACTTCCTACTTCTTAGACTTTGACCCCTTCTTCTGGCTCCTGAGCCCAGTGCCCTTCCCCACTATGTGCCCACAGCACTGGAGCAGAGCTGTCTCACTAGGGACTTTGGCTGGGTCATTAGGAGACAATGGCGCTGTCTCCCCAGTCCAGTTCCAAGCCCAAGCAAGGAGTTCGGTGACCTCAGGCCATGCTGTTCGCTGTAGGGTTTCATGGACATTACTCCTCATTCCTGTCGTTTTGCAGGATTGTAAACCCCTAAAGGCTGACCAGTCCCCCTTCTATTGCCAACCAATCCATAGAGTTTTGTTGCCTCAGGAGGCATTGCATGTTTCAGGGTGAAAATGAAGGTGTTGTCAAAGCCAAATGGTTGCAGATGTAATGGTGACTTCCGAGGCTGTAGGTCGTAGGTTGAGTTGAGTTCAGTTCAGCTGTCCCATGGCAGAAACAGGACATTCTGGGATTATTTTATGATCAGTGGACTTTGTGAGGATCAGGCCTCAAGGGGAGGCTGGTCTGTCTGCCTCCCACCCACAGACTTGCCTCTCAGCCCCCACCAGGTGCCCAAATGTGACACCCCTTGGCCACATGGACCCATTCATCTTCCCCCTGTGCACACGGACAGGCTCCTGCGTCCCTCTTGGTTACAGCACTCTCTGACTGTCTCCATGTCATTTGCTGCCACAGACTGTGGAAAGGTGACTCTGGAAGGGTTGGCAGGATTGCCTGGGGCAGGTGGCACATTTTATGTCCCACAGTGTGAAGGAGCCCAGCCAGCTAGAGAGAACCAGTCTGTGTGTTGACCCCTGGGACTTCTCGAGTTGTTTTCTGTTGAGGAACATTTCCCATTGGGCCATGAAACTTGGCTGAGCTTTTGATTTGTGATCAGCTTTTATATTTTTGCCAAGAAGTGAAAAGAACATTTTCTCATCTTAGCTGTCTCAGGAGACTCCAGCTTCCTGGTTTCTAGGGTAATGGCGATTGGACTGGATGATGTCCAGGTCCTTCTATTTTTTTTTTTTTTTTAATTGGTACCAGGGATCGAACTCACGACCACGCGCTTGCAAGGGAGGCGCTTATGCCAGCCCCATCCAGGTCCTTCTAACATTCTGTTAACCACTTGTCAAGGGAGCCAGGGGTCCACATTTTCTCTCTGGATTCAGTTTCCCTTTCTGCAGAATCACGTGCTGGCTGGAGATGAGTCCCACAAGATTAGATGGATAGTCCTTATAATGCCATTGGAAGACTCAGGGGCTGCATGGCACCAGGTCCCACTGCGTTTAGCTGTGTGACTTGGGGCCTCATTTGCAAAGTCAAGGGCTGGAATAACTATCCTCTGAGGTTCTAGAAAGCTCTGTTTGTTGTGCTTCTTGGGATGGCGTTGTTCTTTGCCCTGACTCAGGGCTTAGTGCCTGGTGCTCTGCTCTGCAGGCTTTCTAGAGCAGCGAGTTGTAAGCAGGTATGTTTTTCTTTTATCCCTGCCAACTGTCTTCCTGCTTCACTGAGAAAGGCTTCCAACCAAAAACCAATAATGGATCACAATTTATTACTGTGCCCTGGGTTGCACACATTAATCAGGAAAATTACTTGAGAGCCATGGTGCATGCATGGCTGAAGGTGTTCGTTATGATGAACTCTCTGTGATTGGAATTCCATGAACACTGTCACTTCTGTACAACAGAGATGTCCTCCTCTCTCGGTCAGCTTGGTTCTCCTGGATTAGGACCCCAGGAGCCAGGAGTGGCTAATTGCTTCTTCCCGACCCAAGGCCTCTGATCACCAGGGGTGGGGTGATCCGCAGGCCACCTAAAGGTCAGATGCGGCCACCTGCACTCAGGGCTTCGAGGTCTGGAAAGCTCAGCAGCAGAGCGAAGCCAACTTGATGAGCCAGCACCTGCTGAGGGCACCTGACCAACTGCGTGGGCGGAGAATCTTCGGGGTGGCAGGACAGCAGGCTGATACCAACTAGTCATTGTCACTGCTGCCAAGCAGAGTTCATTATTGTTCACCTTTAATTCCTGCGATGGTCCGTCCTGAAGCAGGTGTGTGCAGAGGCCTGGACACAGTACGTGAAGCGTCCACGCACACCTTCCTCACAGATTCGGCATCCTCGGGTTTTAGAAACCAAGCTTTCAGCCCTCTCCATTCACCCAGGTCATGATCTGTATGGAAATCTAGCCAGCAGCAGGTGGACCAGCAAGTGTTTAGGGGGCAAATCTTAGGGAAGGTCTCAGGTTCCTGAGGTTGCAGGGTGCCCCTGAGCACAGAGATGTCTGTACACTATACACTCTGGGTGCCTCGATTGCCTCTGTGTAGTGACCCCTCCCCTCCCACGATGTGACCTACAGGGGAATGCAAAGAACAGATTTAGAGCGAGGAAGCTCCCGATTTGGATCTCAGCTCAAGCGGGAGACTGTGAATGAGATATTGAATCCCTTGTGAGATGCTTAACTTGGAACACCAGTCTCTTCCCCCTCCTCTGCAAGATGGGACTGAATGACACATGTGGTCCACAGAGGGAGCTCCAGGGGGGCAGCGTCTCAACAGACAAATGGGGGCCATTATCTCAGCTGGCCAGACTATGGCCAGGCTTAGAGCTAGGGACCTTGGAGGTCCCCCTGCAGGTGCCTGCTGCCTGTCTTTCCCATGGGCCCCAGATCAGGTGGCCCCGAGTTGTTCCCATCCCAGCTGTCCTCTGGGTGGGAGTGGAAGTCAAACCGGTCAAGACCACCAAGACTCCATCCTTTCTGGGAGCATCTCCTCTCAGAGCGGGTGGGGTGGTTTTCTCCTGAGGGGTCAGGTGTCCTTGAGTTCTGTGGTGTCTCGGTACAGGGGCATGGCTTATCCTTCCAACTCTAGGAGGAGGAGAGAAGCAGCTTTGCTGATAGGGAGGGCGCTGGCACCTCCTCCAGTGCCTACCACTGGGCACCAGCAGGGAGGACAGAATGCGGTTCTTCGGGGCAGGAGGGCGGTGGCAGCCATGGAGAGAAGAGGAGGAGGCCAGCCCATCCCTGGGTCAGCAGCCAGACAGTAACAGTATGGCCTCGAATAACTGGCTTCAGACGCAAAAGTCACTTCATCGTTTCTACAAGTGGGGGCTCCAGCCTTTCTGTCACTGAGGCCACTTAGGAGCGAACCTTGGCTCCTGCCTCGCTCCCTCACAGCACATTAACCACCACAGGAAACCTGCTGTAATCGGAGATGCACCCGGTATGTGCCTGTCACCAGCACCCCATGACTTCCTGGTCAGAGCCATCTCCATCACTTGCCTGGGTTGCCACCCTGGTCTCTTGGTCGCTTTCTGTGGTTCCCTGGGTGACACAGTTAAAACGTTAGACCGTGTTGCTTCTCTGCTCCAACCTCCACCATGGTCCCCAAAGTTCTTACCTGGCCCCGCGCTGCTCTGCGCTTGTCCCTCCCCTCTTGCTCACAGTGTCCTCTCCGTATGGTCCCCAGGAGTCAGATGTCCACTCTTCTTAGGTCCATCATTCTGGCTATCCCCGCCCCCTGGCATCATCTCCCCCATCTCCAGCTGATTCACATCTGTGTCTGATGGCTGGGTTGTGTGAAGCTGGGGTCTGGTGGGAGGAGACAGATCCCTCCCTGGCTCCTTCCTTTTCCGTGCTTCCTGTCCTCCACGAGATGCCCACCTTCCCTCTAGCCAGGCCCTTCCACCATCCCACTGTCCATGCAAGCTCTGAAACTTCTAAAATGTGAGCCTCGACTCCTTTTGGTCGTGACTGTCTGGTATTTTGTCCCACCAACTAGGGAAATGCAGGAGTCAGTCCCAGTGCTCTCCTTGAGTCCCTGGCCCTGGAGCCTGCAGGTGCCCGGGGTGGTCTGTGGTGATAGATCATATGCAGAACACATTCTGCTCACCCTGCCTCTCTGCACAATGGTCTTCCAGGTGGTGTACTTCACGGCCACGTTCCCGTACGTCGTGCTGGTGATCCTGCTCATCCGGGGAGTCACCCTGCCTGGAGCTGGGGCTGGCATCTGGTACTTCATCACACCGAAGTGGGAGAAGCTCACAGATGCCACGGTGCGCTCCTATTCTGTGGATAGCAGGCTGGGGGTGGGGGTGGGGCAGGCCTCAGGGATGGGCCCTGTGAGGAGAGGTGTTTGGCAGCCTCGCTCCCCAAGGAATCCCAGGGTCCATTTCTGCAGGGTGCCAATGGTGTCCTCACATTACACACTCGGGACATAACTTAATGAGAAGCCAGTCGCCCAACATCTTCAGATTCCTGGAGTAGCTGTCCCTCAGCTGGGGTCACAGTGCAGGCTGATAATGAAGAATGAAATCCCTTTAACAGCTTTGGGTCATCTCACACTGCTTATCTGCTGCTAATTATAGTGTGTGGCAAATCGGGTTCTGCTGGCTGGGTAATGACAGCGCTTGGGAGACCCGGAAGCAATTCTTATGTTCCAGGCTCCAGACACATTTGAATCCCCACACAGGATCAACACGCCCTTGACCTTGCTTTTACTCTTAAGATTTGCAATCCAGAGAAATCGAAGTGATGGGGTGAGAGATAAATTTTCCCACCTTAAAGAAAAGTCTGCTTTCTCAGAGCCTGCTATGAACACAGCCACTGCTGAGTTTGGTGGAGCAGAACAGAGACTCTCCAGATAACACCTGTGAAAACCCTCACTTTCTCACTTGTGGCACCATGGTACACAGCCACGGGCCAGTTGAGCAATTCCAGGGCATCAACAGGGACCCAGGTTCCTCTCTTTCTGCTCCACCGTCCTGTGAACAGCTTCACTATAGCAGCTAGAGCTCCAGGCATCCCATCCATGTGGGGATCCTATTACTCAGTGGTAAGGAAGGGTATAGGGAACGAAATCCCAACCTACTAGATGTCTGGTACAAGTTTGTGTTCTCTGAAACTGAAGACTGAATTTTAGAAGCCACAGAGGTTAAGAGCAGAATGTATTTATTAAGAGGAAGAAGGCTTGTGTCTGAGAGAGAGAGAGAGAGACAGACAGACAGACACACACAGACATGACATACAGAAGGGGTCCTGAGTAGGTTGCCAAGGATTCTGTCTTTTTAGGGACTTTTATAGAGCAAAAAGGTGAGACAGGTCTGAGATGGGGAAAACCTGGGAACTCACAAGGTGGGCATAAAGTAGGACAGAGCTATGGCCAACCAATAAGATAATTGCTCAGGTAAAATTGATTAAATCGGGGACCAATGAGGGAAGCAAGTCACGTAACAAGTGGGCATGCTTAAATAACAGTGAACCTGAAGAGGTTTAGGATGGTGACTCCTGGCTTCCTCAGGGTGACAGAGACCTATTTTAGAATACCAGCCCTTAGGATGTGCGTGTATTTGTTTGATGTTGTGTCTTGAGGTCTGGCCCACAGTGGGAGGTGTCTGTCTCCTCCACAGGTACAAGGTATCTGGGCTTCTGCACTCGCTCCTTGGGGAACCCAGCCCTGTCTAGCTGTCATTTCTGTCTAACTCAGCTGCCTGTAACAAGGATAAACTGGAGGCTTTTATAGAGAAATGGATGCAACTCAAGACCACACTCATCAGTGAAATAAATTAGACCACTGTGGGCAACCTTGTATTGTCGCACTAGTGTGAGAAGCAGAATGAGTTAATAGGATCCAGAACACATGATAGAATTGTGAAGAGACTATTTAAAAGAAAAGAGAAACTGGAACGGGAGAAAGGGAAAAGGAAAAAATATATAAACATTATAGTTAAGATTATTATACTGCTAGCTTCTCTTAGTTCATTGAAAAGAAAGATCTATACTAATACTTGTACCATGTCTCACACCTATATCTTGTACTCTGAGTAACTACTCCGAAAACAACAATAAGCAATGTATTGATTACTGCTTCTCTCCTAATACTTGTTTTGAAATTCTGTTTTATTTTTATTTCCTCTTTAAAAAAAGGCATTGCCTTCTCTTTTGAAGAAGAGAAATGCTGGGAGTTTGGTATCATTCATTTTCACCACATGGGCCGGAAACTAAGTCCTATGGTTTCCTAGCAACCAAATCTATATCTCCCTGAGATGGGGAAGCAGAAGCTATGGCTGCCCCGAGATCAGATCCCAGCCTGGTGTCTCAGGGTAGCAGGTAGAATGATGTGGAGGTGGCTGTGGGTGTTACCGGGACCCGCTTGAACTTGGTTTTGCATACTTTAAGAGTGATTTAAAAACAGTATTGAGTTGATCAAGCTGATAGGAGGTTCATCATGTAAACCCCAAGTCTGTAGCTCAAACTTTTGACTGCACTGGGGTTTATGAAGACATTCTGGAGGAATTATGTGACAGGTCCCAGAGGTGTCATCAGCCAAGCTCCCTGAGGTTGCTTTGCTGTGATTAGGGGCTGCAGAAAATTTCAGGTTTGTCATAGCAGTTGTAATGCACAGGAATTATCAATTAAACACTTTGTATCCCTGGTTATATTTTGCCATTGTGAATTCTTTGAGAATGTATCAGCCAACAAAGGCCTCTCCCTTTTCAAATGGTTTTCGGGGTAGAATATACATACGCATGAAGTGTGCACAGGATTCATGGAGTTCCTCACCTTTGCTTAGACAGAGTCACAGCTTCCCAGGTCATTTAATGCACTTTGGTCTCTGGTGCACACGAAGTGTATTTGTCATTGATGTTGGAATGCGAAGTCCTCTTGTGTCTGACTGCTCCTTCCTGGGAAGACCAGGCAGCACTGGGTCTGTGACACTCCCTTCTCCTCCGAGGCCTGTCATCTCCTTCAGCGACCTTGACTGTCCTCTGTTTTGTTTCCCAGGTGTGGAAAGACGCTGCCACTCAGATTTTCTTCTCTCTCTCTGCTGCCTGGGGAGGTCTGATCACTCTTTCTTCTTACAACAAATTCCACAACAACTGCTACAGGTATGTGGAGGTACTTCCAACGCCAGAGGGCGCTGGTGAGTAAAAGGAGGGTGGGGACAGGAGAGTGGGCTGCATTAGTAGGATCAAAGGTCGCATCCTTCTATGAGAGATTTGTCTGTGATCTGGGAGAAGTGACCAGCCAGGGCTGCTGGACCCCAACCTGCCCTATGGGCCATGGACTCATGGTGGAATCTCAGTGACATCTTAAGGGATGGAAATGAGCCCCTCTGGAGGCCTCTGTACAGTCCTCTGTGTTCCGTGGTAGCTATCTGTGAGTCCTCAGTCCACATATGAAGTCATAGCATCACTTATAAAGTATGGTCATCAATCACTTTGTACTCGTACTTTTCCCGAGACCCTATAGTAAAGGCAGCACCACACAGAAGAAAGGGCACCTGGAAGCTTGGCAGGTGATTGATTAGGGGTTCACCACACCCTAAGCCTTAAAAACATGGCCAAGCCACTTCCTTCTCCAAGGGCCCATTGTTTCCTCTGCAACACAGACTGTAATATTTTGTTGAGGGGTAAATGCTGATGTACACCAAGCTCTCAGAGCAGTTTTTTGTACCTAGTAGGTATTTGATAAATGGCAATCGCTACTGCCATTTTAAAAACCATGTGTGAGATGCTCTGTGAATGAAGAATGAGGTAGAAACATTCGAAATGTGCCCCTGTCCTCACCTGGGTTAGGATAGAGGTGCAGAGATGCAAGGTCAGGGTGTGGTTTCGGGTTCAGGGAGTCACACAAAATACAACAGGCGCATGGAGCATGGGTGTCCTTGAATTTAAACAGTGCACAGACGGGGAGCAGTGCCTCAATGCCCCACGTGGAACCGGGACATCTGAACTTAGCTCAGTGTCCCAAGCATTTATGATACAACTGTTGGGATCAAACCATAGTGCTGAGAGCTGGTGGTGAGGATCACGATGAACGCTGGTCCTGTTAGAACAGAGTGTACCCTTGGGCTTCAGTGCCTCAGTCATCTGGCTCTGGAGCAGTGTACCCTCGCTCCCATTTTTAGGGCAGCCAAAGCTCTCATTTTCTAGATCATACACATGGCGGTCCTAGCAGCCAGGTCTGGGAGCCCAGGCCATGCTGAATTAGTCCATAGCGACTGTTACAGGAACCCATTCTTCACCTGCTGTTGCCCGAACCTTGACTAAGGGGCAGACTTTTCTCAAGCATGTCTGATGCTTAGAGCAAGGACCAAAATGTAAACTTAGAGCAGAACTGTAATCCCACGAGGTAAATTCACCCTGGGTGGTGGTGCAGATCCAGGAGGGGCATGGTCCAGATGGCAGAGACATCCTGGGTGGAAATGAGAGGGAAGGAGTGGGGTAGGGGAGGCAGGTAAAGGGGATCAGAGTGGGATTGATATTGAGGCGCCCAGAGGTGCAGTGTTTGGGGAGGGCTTGCGTTCAGTTCTGGATGTCCTGGCTGGTGAGAGAGCCACATGGTCCCCGCAGCCTCTGTTACAAGGACGCTCATCCTACCCACGGAAGCAGAGCTAGGCCCTCCCCAGTGGCCCGCATCTTAGTGCCACCTGGCTGTTTAGATCACAGCCGATGCCTGGAGACCCAGTTCTAAGCATGTGAAGCCAGAGCCTCCCTGCAGAGCCCTGGGTCAGGCAGGGGGGCGAGGTGTTTTTGAGCCTCTCTGGGATTTTTAAGCCATGCTGAAGGCATCTGTGGGCAGAACTGCCCATTCTTCCCTTGGGTGAACCCCTGTTTGGGGATGGCATGCACGTGCCTGGGTACACATGTTCACGTGCACACACACATACACACACACACACTCACACACACAGCATCGTATTTTGTTCATCCTTCCCCCTGTCCCTCTCACAAAGCCCATCTAACGGCGAGCCCCGGTCTCGGTTTCTTCCTTTCAGGGACACCCTAATTGTAACCTGCACCAACAGCGCCACCAGCATCTTCGCTGGCTTTGTCATCTTCTCTGTCATCGGCTTCATGGCCAATGAGCGCAAGGTCAACATTGAGAACGTGGCGGACCAAGGTAGGGGGCGGATGGCACGGGGCGCACTTCCTGAGCTCCCGATTCGTCCTCGCCAGGGAGCTGCTTTCTAGGGCGGCTCTTGGCCCCTCTATCGAGGGTATCGGATCGTCACCAGTAGGAAGCTCAGTGCAGAGTCCAAGCGTGCCTGCCTGTAGCCACAAAGGTTGCTTTAACACCCTCTTTCCCTCTCCTCTCTCCTCTCCTTTGTCTTCTCTTGCTTCTCTTACTTCTGTCTTACCCTGAGTAGGTTAGCTCTGAGCTGTTAGGTCCCAGTAGAGGACTCACTGGGCAAACCCAGTGTCCCAGAGCTGAGTAACCTGCGGCCTGCCGCAAGGGGGCGCGCTTGGCAACTGAGCACCTTGGTTTAATGAGCGCTGGCTCCTGGAGCCATTGCCTTCCGAAGTGCTTTGCTGCTTGTTGGGTCAAATGTGTTGTCAAGGCCTTCTGAGTAGTTAGCAAGGCGGATTTACAGTTCTCCCTGTGAGTGCTGAGGTTGGATGGAGGCTGCTGGTGGAAGGGGGCTTGCAGGGTAGATGTTTACTCTGCCCCATGATCCTTCTGTGAATGGCTAACATTTGTCACTTTCCAGATTACAAACAGTTTTGTCCCATTTCACCCACATTTCCATGATAGCATTTGCAGGGAAAGCATTTCATATTTTTAGTTAGCTGTTTATTCCCACTCAGCCTGGTTCTGCATAGGATTTGGTGTTTTGAAGGCTTTGAGGGTCTTTCTTTTGACTGTCCCTTGTCACTGAGATCTGCTCTCTGATTAGCATGCAGGCTGCCTGTGTGTGAGGATGGGGCTGGCAGAGCTGCCCAGGGCCAGTCTGGTCCTCAGCCAGTCCTCCTCCCCCCACGAGCCGCTGCTGCTCTCAGATAAAGGCTCAGTGAACACAGAGCTCTGGAAATGTCACCTTTTTGATGCCCTGACTGATCTCTCCCGGCTTCCCAGGATAATTAATTACTATTTGGTCTCCTGCTGATAGAGCCCTAAAGAGTTAAATGAGCCAGCATGTTCTGGGCTGCAGTGAGCTGTGAACCCCAGGGGTGTTTGGTTCTGAGGTAGTGACTAAATTGGAGGGGCCCTGGGAGCTGAGCAATGCTTTTTCCTGTTTGAGGCCTCTCTAACTCCCTGGGAGGCTGGTGGAGAAGGTGAAAGGCTCTGTCACAGGGAGGGCCCTGTGTATTTGTGCAACTGGGGCACATGCTAGAGCCACCCCCAGGTGTCCTATAACCTGCTTTCCGCCCAGCAGAGGAGCTGATGCACACTGTTCTGCCCCAGTTTCTAGCAGATCTGGGGTGCTCTGCTGCTTCCTGTGATCCTCCTAAGCTTGTTGGAAACCAGTGGCAGAGCTGCCAGAAACACTGCTTCCTCAGATGCAGGCTGCTTCAGTTAACAGTTTTGGGCTCTTTCCTGCCCCCAGGAAGGGGATTTGGGAGGGATTTGTTGCCAGAGTCAAACAAAACAGAAAACAGAACCTCAAAAGGAATTTTATTTATCCTCTGGGTAGAAGGCAGCGGGTAACTGCCTGTGCTTCTCTCTGAAATTTCCCCTGTCAATTGTTTTCCAGTTCTTCTGACCTGAGAGTTACTGTAGCCCCTCTAACAGGTTTTAACCTGTGGGGGTGATCTCTTTGGATATGGGGCAGACATTTGAGCCCAGGCCTGTGTCCAACCCCAGCCCCACTCCTTCCTTGCTGAGCAACCTGATTAGCACATAGACACTCAGGATGGGTTTACCGACCCAGTAAGCTAGGTGCAAGTTTTGATGTTTAGTCAAAAATAGGTTCTCTTTGATGACTTAACACAATGCTGAGTCATTTAACCTTCCCTGTTTATTTTCCTTTGTGACAGTAGGGTTTGATTGTACTGACCTACATCCTTAGCCCTTTTATTTTACTTTTAGATTTCAAGACAGGGTCTCACTTGATCAGACTTGCTCAAACTTCTGATCCTCCTGCCTCAGCCTCCCAGAGTGCGAGGATTATAAGTGTGTCTCCCATGTCCAGTGAGCAGTGCCCTTCTGAGAGAGGCATTTTTGTGAATAGTATCCCTGTAAATCTCAGCTGCATCAGAATTTGGGGATGATATGGATGAGGAGACCAAGTTGTCCTCTGCTTTTATATGAGACAGAATAAGGAGATGCTTGTTCTTCTTGGGCATCTACTCCAGAAAAGCAGCTTCTGGATGCCTCTTCTGCCTTTCAGGAGCTGTCTCCCAGCCATCACGTTACCACCTGTGGGGCAGTGGTTCATCTCGGGACCCAACCTGAAGCCCTAAGTGGTGCTTATCCACTATCAGTATCAGAAAGACTGGGTCAGACTCGCATAGACAAACATGCACGTGGATATCTTATTTAGAGTTGTTGAGTAGGATCATAACTCTGAATTAGCCAGGTGACTAGGACAGGCCACCTCGATTCCTTTATCCGTGAATAACTCAGAGACTCTTATGATAAAAATGAACACTTTCAAACAAGACACTCCCCACCCAACCTGAATCCCAATGCCTGTCTATTGCCTGGGTTGCAGGCCTGGTGCCCAAAGTTCCGGTGCTGTGTCCTCAGGAACCCATTCCAGCTGAGACATGCATCACAGTCGGCCTCACCCAGCTGTGCTGTGGTGCATTGCATTGGCCAGAGCCCCTGACTGGGTCTCCTGAGCTGCCCAAGGATAAGGAAGGCTGGCATCTGTGTCCTTGCAAGTTGCTGGCACGCAGAGCCCTGGTGATCCCCTCTGGTACGAAGAGTAGAAATGGGGTGTGTGTCCCCTGGGTTCCTACCATTCTGGGCATCCTTTAAGCCCTTTACTGGTCTTGGTACCTTAATTCTCACTGAATGCTGTGGGTGTAGGTACTGTGATTGTCTCCTGAGGGTAAGTACAGGTGTCTCACCTAGTGCCCCAGCTTGCAGGAGGTAACCTGTGGGGAGGGGAGCCCTCTCTGCAGCCACTGGGCTCACCCTCTCCCAGTGCACCTGAAGAGACACAGGACTTAGCCTCAGCAGAGGCCAGGCACTCTTTTAAATACTCAACAGTGGTGCTTCCTCCATGACTCTGTTCCCCAGGTACCTTGGGTAAGTGGAATTTGCTGTGATGTAGATTGAAAAAAGCTCCTTCGCTCAGGTACATTAGGGAAGCAGCTGAAATTGAAGCATGATTTTTAAAATTAAGCACCCAAAGTGTCTGATTCCATTCAGGTGACCTGCTGAGGTCCTGGCAGTGGCCATGGAAGACCTTGCTGGCTTTATGGACCTGGCGGTCACCCCAGCACAGTGCTGGCTGCCTTGCTGTGCACTGGAGACACATTCTGAACTGTAGTTTAACACTGACTTTTCTTTTACAGTCCAGAGAGGGGCCTTTGGAGGCTGGCTCCACACCCTACTCAATAACTGTGTAAAGTGGGGTGTCTTAAGGGTTTGAGGCTTTATGTTTTAAATACCCCAAGGCCCTAGGCAACAGGAGAAGCCAACAACCTGCTAAATTCCTGTTTTGAAAAGTGCTGTTATGCTCGAGTTATGAAAACTCCAGGTGCTGGGATTTCTGGTTTCCACAAATGCGTAGGCTGCAGATTCTCCCTGAGCTCACTCATCTCCATGCACTGTCTTTTAGTTTTCTGCTTGAAAAGACACACACATCTCCCATGTCTCTCTATGGGTTTGGTTACCAAGATCCTCCCAGGGAGACCCCGAGGCAGGTAGGGACAGCTGACAGGAGTTTACCATAGCTGAGAAAGCCACCAGGAAGCATGGGGTATTCTCCAAAAAGCCTGAACCAGAACCTGTAAGTGCCAAGCTCACGGTTCACTCATAATAAGAGCTAACATTCAGTGAGTATGGATCATGTGTCAGGTGTTTTTCCATTTGTTCCTTCCTCACAACCATCTCAGGAAGTATGATTGTTAGTTCCATCTCATAGCTGGGCAGAACTGAGGCTAATAGAGACTTGTCTAGGGTTGCAGAGCTGGTGAGTGATGGAGTGTGGATCTGGACCAGAGCCATCTAACCTTCAGAGACAAAACTCCACGCTAAGCCATGATCCGCCTCTCATTGCCTCTCTCCTCCATCTAATCACCATCTTTAGCAAGTAGGGCAAGGTCCTAAAAGTGTGGGACACATCCATGTTTTCTGTGCATGGCTTCTCCTGGAGAACTGACCAGGGGGGAGGGTAGTTACTGGGGAAATGAGGTCATTCAGGTCCATTCAGACTTCAGAGCAGGGATTCCCAAGATCAGCAATATCCACATTGGACTAGACTTGCCTTTGTTACTGGGGAGCTGTCCATTGTAATAGAGAATGCTGAGCAGCATTCCTCGGCTCTACCCAGTGAATGCCAGTAGTCATCCTAGGCCATCCCAGTTGTGAGAATGGAAAATGTCTTCAGACTTTGCCGTGTATCCGCCTGGATTTATGGGGGGAAGGAAGAGACACATTATCAACTGTTTTAATAACTTTCTTCTGTCGATGTCCGCTCCCGGCCGGCAGGAAGGACACACGACAAAGTCTGGTAGTGGACAACCTTTTCTTTTTATTTTCCTTCTCCGTACAGCCTGCCCTGGGTTCTCCCAGCTGAAGCCTCCTCTGGTCCGCTCCCCGCGGCTCCTTTTGTGCTTCAGTCTGCCCCAAAGCCTCTACCGGTCCGCTCTCCGCGGCTCCTTTTGGGCTTCTACTTCCGGGCTTCTATCTGGCTTCTTCTTCCGCCCAGGGGTGGCACCGGTATATATACGGGTACAGTGTCCAATCATGTTAAAGTAAACAAGGCAAGCTGATTGGCTAACATCATCAGTTGCCAGGCAGACTATATTGTTGAGCGGGTTGCTTACGCGGTAAGCAGGAAACTAACGTGCTCGATGGGAGGGGTAATCTACCTCAGGCTTTACTCTTTACTACAGGCCTCACGTCCGCCAAGTGAGGCGACCGGGCTCGGGGCTGCGGCTCCCAACATCTCCCCCTTTTTTATTTTTTATGAATGTGCGCATCGTAGCCCTTCCTGGACTGGGTGCAGAGGCTTATGCCCTATGCGTAGGCCCACCGTAGGTCCTTGGCTTAGACCCTGGTCGGCCGTCCCATGGTCTGCCAAGGCCCTGAGGCCCTCGTCCTTTTTCTAGGGCCAGGCACAAACTGGACGGAACCTGGATGCACACAAGCTTGCACTCATTTCCTCTCCGTAAAGAAATCCCCTCGGAGAGAAATTTAGACCTGGGCAGCATCTAACAGTCCAGCGGCTTACGTGCAGGATGGGGTAGGGCCTGGCTTAGGTTGAGTCATGCTGGGGAGGCACGCTCTTACCCGTCATTGACTCATCTACCCTGCTATATCATAATTTTTTAGAGGAGGAGTGTGGGAAGCTCACCGTCCCTAGACTCGGTCGTAGGCTAGGCGAGCGAGCCATGCATATGCCTGAGGATCTTCTTGTCCATTTCGGGCTACCGCTATTTCTATTCATCTTGTTGGTTGGTCTGTGATGGATCTCCAGTAGGGCAGGTCTGATCTTTAGTCGAGGGCTTTGTTGTCCGTGTCAGTCTCTCCGGTATCCACAGTGGTTCTCGTCTCGATTCCTGTGGGAAAACACAAACCGCGCCTCGGTTCCAGCTGATTACCGGATCCGGGCCCATCCATTGTCCTGTCAGGACATCTTTCCACTTCATCCACCCTTTATGGTTGGGGGAAGGGTTGCAGTGCTCCACAGCTGGGGAGCGATTATCATTATTTAAATTTAAAAAATTGTGTGTGAATAGTGCCATGGATAATCGTGCCTTTGGGGCCAGGCCTTGGCCTACTCCCCCTTTTTGTTTTTGTAAAATTTCTTTGAGGCTTCTATGAGCCCTCTCAATGATTCCTTGACCTTGGGGATTGTATGGGATACCATGTTTTAATTGAACCTCCATCATTTTGCAGAACTCATTGAAAGCTTTGCCTATATAGGCTGGTCCATTATCAGTTTTTAATATTTTTGGTTTGCCCCATGCGGCCCAAGCTGCCAGGCAATGATTGATCACATTAGACACTTTTTCACCTGTTTCTGCTGTTGCAAATATGACGTGAGAACAGGTGTCTGTGGAAACATGAACATATTTAAGAGTCCCAAACTCCTGTATATGTGTGATGTCCATCTGCCAAACATCATCAGGGATCAAACCTCGAGGGTTTACTCCCATCGGTATGGCAGGTTTGTATGTGGCACAGGAGTCACATAGTCGCACGATATCTCGTGCATCTGCTCTAGAAACATGGAAATGGTTTGCTAGTGTCCTGGCATTAACATGAAATTTATCATGGAAGGCACGGGCTCGCTCGATTGGTGTTAGTAAGGTAAAAATCCATAACGGGCGAGTGGCAGTGTCAGCAGCCGCATTCCCCTGTGCCATGGGCCCCGGCAGGGATGTATGTGCTCTTATGTGGGTGGTGAAGACCTTATGGTGTCTGTTCTGAAGCAATGTCTGGATAGACAGGAACAGTCCAGCCACTGTGGAAGTGGATCTAATTAAACTGGCAGTCTCAAGCACTTGCATAGCATTGACCACATACCTAGAATCGGAGACAATGTTAATGGCTTCTGAGAACCGTTCAAGAATCATTTTAACGATCTGCAGTTCTACCACCTGAGGCTGATCTGGTTTAAATTGTATGGTAACCGGGGGCTTGCCTAGGATCACATAGGCGCCTATCCCCGTCTTGGAGCCATCTGTGTATATTGTAGTTGCTAGGACTAATGGCTCAGAGGCAGTAACCTTTGGAAAAATTATAGGGTGCTGAGTGACAAATGACAAGATAGGGTCTTTAGGGTATTGATTGTTTATATCCCCATGGAAAACACATCTCAGAATGGCCCAGGTATCTATGCAGGCAGCCAGGGTCTTGATCTGGCTGGCGGTATAGGGTACTCGGATGGCTTGTGGTCCTGAGCCAAAATGTTGGACAGCTCTATCATGCGCTTCAAGGGCCAATGAAGCGACTGCCTCCGGGTAATGCTCTATGACTTTTGCAGGTGAGACCTTAGGGTGTATCCACAGTAGTGGTCCTTTCTGCCAAATCACCGCTGTGGGCTGTAGACTAGTCTGTAGCAAACAGACATCAAAGGGTCGCCATGGTTCAATTCTGTGTAAGGTAGCCCCACCTAAGGCTTTTTCCACTCTCTGTAAGGCAGCTCTTGCCTCAGGAGTGAGCCTCCTGTGGGAGGCTATATCTGGGTCTCCCTTCAGAAGGTCGAACAGGGGTTTGAGATCTGAATTTGGTATATGTAAATATGGCCTAATCCAATTAATGTCTCCCAATAGCCTTTGCATGTCATTTAGGGTCCTAACGCCATCCGTCCTAATGGTGACCTTCTGTATAAGTCTGGAGGCGACACTGAGGTCCACACCTGCTGACCCAGGGGTGGCCCTTGTTGAAGGCTGCCATCCTGAGCTGTCCTGTCTCTGGGGCGGGGGCCTGCCTGTGAAGGGGGCCCCCTCTGGCCGTTTTTTGGCCCTTTAGCATCTCGTCCACAAATACGGTTGCCCTGAGCATCAAAGACCGACCTACACTCCTCAGCTTTGTGTGATCCCCTCTTACATCGCCCACAAACATATGGTTCTTCATTCCTAGGGCGAGGCCTAGCATCTGCATTGTTTGGGCAATGACGTTTAATGTGTCCTGGCTCCCCGCAGGCAAAACACCCTTTAGCCTTACATTCCCCTTCTAACCCGCGAGGTCCCCTCTGCTGTATAGCCGCGGCCAGGAGAGCAGCCACTCCCGAGTTGGAGAGCGGCCCCCCTATCTCTCTGCATATCCTAATCCAGGCATTGAGGTCCTTGTTCTTATGAGGAGCTATCGCTGCCTTGCACTCCTTTGTACATTGTTCGAAAATCAGCTGCCTTACCAGCGGTCGAGCCACTCCCGGATCAGAAAATATCTTATCGGCAGCATCTTGCATTCGGGCCACAAAGTCAACAAATGGCTCTGTGGTACCCTGAATTATTTTTGAAAGACACAAGGAGGCTGTTCCGGCACCACTTACCTGTTTCCAGGCGCGGAGTCCTATGGCATTGATTTGCTCATAGACAGCGCCGGGGAACTGGGTCTGGTCATCAGCGTGTCGACCTTCTCCCATAAGCATTTCCTTGTTTCACCCCCGGTTTCCCCGATTGGCGTTTTTCTCAGCCTGCTCGGCAGAGAACTCTGCGTACCAGGCTCGCCAATCCAGGTAACTGCCCGAGGGCAGACACGCCTTTGCCAGCTGAATCCAGTCCGCGGGGGTGAGGGGCCCAGAAGACAGATTCTCCAGCATGGCAATGGTGTAAGGCGCAGTCGGCCCAAAGGTTGTAACTGCATTTTTAAGTTCTCTAATCTGCTTTATCTCAAAAGGCTCCCATACATTGCGTCCCTGGCCCATAGCTACTTGTACAGGAAATATCCCGTAGGGGCCACTATCTATCCCAGGTGGATGTACCTCATGAGATAAGCGTCCCCCCTGCCAAAGCCGCCTGTAAAAATACCGACCCGCCGGCGGCGGAGCATAAGACGGCGGCCGTGATTGGGCGGAAAATGGGGGCCCGTGCATCACTTCCTGTTCTGGCGAAAGGGGAGGGAGCTCCCAGGCGGCCGCCTCGTGGCGAGGGATCGCCTCCGGAAACGGCCCCACGGAAGGCTTCGCCTCCCTCTCGCGCCGGGGAGCGCTCAGGAGCTCTCTACTCCTCCGCAGACCAGGTTGAGCAGAGCGCAATTCGCGGCGCAACGCTGGAAAAGAACCCTGCGACTCCTTATCGAGCGACTTAGGCTCCTGACAGCTGGTCTCTTTGGCCTCCTTGCCATTCAACTTTCCCTCGTCCTCGGAGTCAGACGACTCCGAGGCTAGAGCCTCGTCCTCCTCCTTAGCATCCTTGTTCCCCTTGACAGACACCTCTCGGGAGCTCCCTGACTGGGCCTGCTCAGATACCCTGCGTACTTTTGTAAGCTCTTGAGAGCTTTCTCCATAACCACCCTCGCTCTTAGTGTTGCTACCTAACATGTTTCCCATTTTTTAATATGTTACTCACCGCGTGAGGCCCAAGGAATCCGCCACTTACGCGTGAGCCTGAGGGGAGTCTAAAAGCCCTGTAGGTGCGCGCCACCCAGAGCCCAGGCTTATCCCCAACTCACCTGTCTCGCAGCTCTGTACTGGAGCGTTGTCCACTTCCACGTCGCAGGGGTGATCAGTCCCCGTACGGGCCACCAAATGTCGATGTCCGCTCCCGGCCGGCAGGAAGGACACACGACAAAGTCTGGTAGTGGACAACCTTTTCTTTTTATTTTCCTTCTCCGTACAGCCTGCCCTGGGTTCTCCCAGCTGAAGCCTCCTCTGGTCCGCTCCCCGCGGCTCCTTTTGTGCTTCAGTCTGCCCCAAAGCCTCTACCGGTCCGCTCTCCGCGGCTCCTTTTGGGCTTCTACTTCCGGGCTTCTATCTGGCTTCTTCTTCCGCCCAGGGGTGGCACCGGTATATATACGGGTACAGTGTCCAATCATGTTAAAGTAAACAAGGCAAGCTGATTGGCTAACATCATCAGTTGCCAGGCAGACTATATTGTTGAGCGGGTTGCTTACGCGGTAAGCAGGAAACTAACGTGCTCGATGGGAGGGGTAATCTACCTCAGGCTTTACTCTTTACTACAGGCCTCACGTCCGCCAAGTGAGGCGACCGGGCTCGGGGCTGCGGCTCCCAACATTCTTCATTATGGGGAAAAAATACCTAACACCTACAACTTTTATTTTTGTCTTTTTCCTTTTTATCAGTACCGGGGATCGAATTCATGACTGCCTGTTGCAAGGCAGGCGCTTATGCCGCTGAGCTAAATCCCCAGCCCTCTAATGCCTACAACTAAAGTGAAGAGAAATTCACTTTGGCTCATAGTTTGTAGAGGTTTCAGTCCACAGTCAGCTGGCTCCAAGGCAGGTGGCATGGCAGAGGGGCATCGCAGAGGAGAAACAGTGCATGGCATGGCTACAAGAAGCAGAGAGAAAGGCAGGGGAAGGAAGACGGAAAGAGGTAGACTCTTCCAGTCTACACCCCAGTAACTCACTCCTCCAACCAGGCTCCGCCTCCTAATGTCATGTTTAGCTGTAAACACATCAGTGGTCTAATCCACAAAGGAGCATCACGCTCTGTGATCCAGTCATCCTCCCCAAGCCCCATCTATCTCTCTGTGATCCAGTCATCCTCCCCAAGCCCCATCTATGCAACCAGCAGACTGTGGGGGGACCTCTAGATACAAACCATTGCATCAACTCAGGTTGACAATCACTGTTTTAGAGTAGAATTATTATATTTACCCATGACTCATACAATAAAAAATGCGGTTTGTCATGCTGTGTGCATGAGAGATAGCCTGATCTTAGAAATGTGTGGAGGTGAGTAAAGTTGATACCAGACAGTGGAAGCACTGTGTGATAAGTCATTGTTCAGGAGCCATGTAGAGGGGGGCCCTGGGTGCTGGGAAGAGGGGCTTGGAGGTGGGTCTGCATTCATCACTTCTCTTCTTCCTCCAGGCCCAGGCATTGCATTTGTGGTTTACCCAGAAGCCTTGACCAGGCTGCCCCTCTCTCCATTCTGGGCCATTATCTTTTTCCTGATGCTGCTCACTCTCGGGCTGGACACTATGGTGAGCCCCTTTCCATTCCAGCCTTGTCCCCCGCCCCTTCTGAAGATGCCTTCCTGGCCCTGGGCCCAACCTTCAGGGAGGCTTGGGAGTCCTGAGGTCTCTGCTGAGCAGGGTAGGGGTGCTGAGCTCCCAGCTGAGGCTGGGGACCTCCTTGCAGCTTTGGTGCTCATGTGATGGCACCATCTCTCTCCCTCTTCCCCTTCTCTGTTCTCAGTGCTATATTTTAGCTGGTGTACTTTTCCCCCTTGGCATCATTTTGCCACAGGAGCCAGAGAAGGAAGGATAATGTGAAGTCAATTTTAGGGAAATTGCTGTGGGGCTGAGACTATTGCTAATCATGCTGAATGCTCTCAGAGTTTAGTCTTTGGGTACAAAGAGGGCTTTTCCTCCAGTAGAAGTTCAAATGCAAAGTAACCTAAGGAAAGGAATTTACATCTCATGAATGCAAAATGAAGCTTAAAAGGTCCTGATGGATGCATCTGAGTGCATTCTCTGGGGGCCAGAAGCATGGTTTCTGAAGCTCACACCCTGCCTGAGTCTCCTGTATAGCCCTGCAGGTTGCACCCAAGAAAACAAAGCCACCCTCAGAACGGAACCTAACCCAGACATGGTACACCCTGCTGAGACTTGCAAAGAGCTTCCTGTGGGTCTTGTGAGTGGGACAGACTGACTCAGCCATGTCTTTTCTGGCCCTGCTGCAGTTTGCCACCATCGAGACCATAGTGACGTCCATCTCCGATGAGTTTCCCAAGTACCTGCGCACACACAAGCCAGTCTTCACACTGGGCTGCTGCATTTGTTTCTTCATCATGGGCTTTCCAATGATCACTCAGGTAAGGAGTGCTGGGCTCAGGCTGGGGAGCAGCTGGGCGAGAGGCTGCTGGTTACCTGTCCCTTTATCCTGAGCTCTCAGACCTTCTGAGCTCAGGCACACCACCACCACTTCCATTTCGGCAGCACCAGTTCATTAGGGATTTGGACCACAGAGGGAAATATGTCATCCTGGGAATGCTTCTAGCGTCCTGGTAATTGAGTTGTAGCCTTCTTCAGCCAACAAGACAGGTGTGTCCTACTTAAAGAAATGGGAAACACAGAACTCCAAATTTACCAGCTAGATGCATTCCCAAGCCATTACTCACTGTACATCAAACTACAGTCCCCAAGTCCTTTCTGTGTCTTAGTGAACAGAATGCTAACTGCTCAGTATATGTATTGCTATTGCTGTCTGCGTGACCTGGACCAAGTCAGTTCTGGGCTTAGTTTCTTCATCTATACCACGATCGATTCGAATGAGTTTCTAAGCTTTATCCATTGTAAGGATATTTAAGGAGTAAGGCAGAGAAACATTGGGATGCATGAGGAATGCCCAGAGATATCTAAAAGTTATATAAAAGGCAATCAGAGGCAGATATGGGGGAAAGGATCATTGTTGGCTTAAACAAAAAGCATTTTGGCTACTTTCACATATACATCTTCAGGTGCTGACCTTCGCTTTTGAAAAATAAGGCATTAAATCACTTTTTGAGTGCTTGTTCAATCAATTAACTCAGAGTGGGTTAAGGAACTGCTTTGCTCTCCTGGCAAGGTCTCCAGTTTACATGCGTGGCCAGGTGCAGGTTATTGCTTTGGAGAAGAGGGGAGACCCTTCGACTCCTGTCGGTACCCCACTTGCCTTATCATGGTGAAGTTTGGCTTTAGAAGCAGGAGGAGAGAACCTGGCTCTAGGGCCCTCTTGATGTTGCTCGTGTCTCTCTCTTCAGGGTGGAATTTACATGTTCCAGCTCGTCGACACGTATGCTGCCTCCTATGCCCTGGTCATCATTGCCATCTTCGAGCTGGTGGGGATCTCCTATGTGTATGGTAAGGCAGGTCACTGTACCTGCAGGCGAGGGAGAGCCCGGGGTCCCGAGACTTCCTGGCAAGCAGAATCCCCATAGCAACAAGACAGTGACAGGATTAAAATTGTACCACTGTGATCCAGATTTCATAGGGAGACCCAATGTGACTGATGGAAAAACTCTGAAGTCTCTAGGACATGCATTTGGTGTGATCTGGCAGGTGGCTAGAAGTCTATGGAGCTTGAAGTGTGGAGCAGCCTTGCAGCTGGTCCCTGGATGTCACAGGGAGAGTGCCCTCTTGGCTTGCGGTCCCTTAGAGAGCTGTACGTGAGTGTGAACCCTGGAGCTTGTGGTATAATATCTCAGCCTCCACTGTCTCAGGAATGAACTTCCGGGTTCCTTTACAGTTTACCCTCCCCCACCATTACCATAGCAACCTGCATCCCACAATCTCGAAGCTCTGATAAGAACAGCAGGCATGTTGAGCCATCAGATGTCATCTGTGGCCTGTGCATGAAGGTGTTTGTCCTTGAGGTCTAACAGGTCTCCTGGTCCTCGTGTGTGAGCCAGTCAGCACAAGGAAAGCCTGGTGACTCGGGGCACTGCTGGTTTCTTTTGTTGTTGCTGTTTTTGTGCCTGGAACTCTGCTGAGAACCTTTTCTAGACTCGGGCTCTCTAATGTAGATAAGGCCATGGTCTCAGATGTCAGGAGGGTGAGTGTTCCCAGTTCAGACTATCTAAACTGTATTTCAGACTCAAAAAGAGAGAGTTGTGTGCCCTAAGCTTAAAACAAAAGCTGGGTACCCCTTGGAGTGCAGGTTGAAAATACCCTCAAAATGCGCCATCTGAGTCCAAAGGAAGAACAGGCCGGGCCAGAGACGTCTGCAGAGCTCTGCCCTTTAAACTGGGAGCCCAGATGGACTTCCTTGTGTCCTTGATGTGAATATTGCTTTCAGTCTACTTGTTAGACTCCCAACAACTGCTCAAGGGCTGGCCTCTTGCCATCTCTGAAAACACAGTAAGATGGAGGAGAATGGGCAGACCTCAGGCCAAGAGAGGGAAATCTTTCATGTCAAACTGAGTACCCAGAGACAGGAAGATCCTGCTGTCACTTTTGGGTGTTGGTTGAAGGTGAAATTTTCTCGGCTTAGAGATCCCATCCCCACTGCAGGGAAAGTTTAGTTCCTGGCCAGAGGAGTGGGCTGGCATCCAGCTGTCCCAGTGGGATCTCAGTCCAAGCTGCCAATGCCTTTGGCTGATGAGACAGCCAGGGCCCTGCAGTGATGGTGTGATTGAAGATCTCATGGTGGAGGGAGGGGAAGCTCCAAAATGTTTTCTACTTGGCAGAGCAGCAAATGCCCAGTTATGCCTAGACAACAAAACTAAGGCAAGGGGGGCGGGGTACTCTGAGAATCTCCTTGGAAATTCAGCTCCTGGCAGGTCCTATGCATGTTGAGCTTACTGCATGGTCTGTGGGGAAACTCAGGAAAGGACTTTCTTTCCAGCATGGCCCGAGTACAGAGGGAACTACATTTACCTTCTGCTTTACCTGTCTCCTAGCTGCTACCCACCACAGTAATCACACTTGCATGTTCTGTTCTTATAAAACAGGCCTGTTTAGTGTGGTTTAAAAGTATCATTACAATGAAAACCTTTTAACCTTTCCATTTTTAGACTTTAAATACCTTTCTCCTCCCTGCCTCATATATACCTGGTGCTAGAGCTCTTGGTTTGGAAGGAATCAACAAATCCTGAGTACTTCAGCCACTGAGATTTGCTAAATTTACTGGGGACAGGAAACCCTAGGGTCCCCAAAGGGGGTGGTATTAGGCCAGCTGTGCCAATCCTAGCCCCAGCAGGCTGGACTCATCCAGGTAGAATGTCAAGAAGTAAATCTCAGAAAGAAGCAGTAGGATTAACTAACATAGTTGTTAGCAGTGAAGAAAAGAGCCTGCACAAATTGTGAATCGATTCCTGAGAACAGAACTGTCTTTAGGTCCCAAACCAGCGAAAGGTTCATGTACGGCACTTGAGTATGAATCTTTGCAAAGAATGGAAACAAACCTGACTGGTTCAGTGTACTGCCTCCCTGGTTTCAGATTAAAGAAATAAGCATGCGAGTTGTAGGGATTTGTGTTTTCTACTTATTCCTAATAATCTCTAGACTACTCGAATGCCAGACTACTTCTAGCATCTGATATATGGTGGGTGCAACTTTCAAGTATTTTTATTTTAAAGCTAGTAAAATCCAACAAAGCAAAACAGAGCAAAGCTCATCAAAACAAAGCAGTTAACTTGGTACAGAACTTCAACGCAGGATACTAGGAAACAACAATAGCTAGCAGCTGTCTTACCTTCACTATAGTTGTCTATTCCATCAGGTATAGCAAAATCAAACCAAAACCAAAGCAGAATAAAACCAATCAAAACAGAACAAAATAATCAGAACAAAGCAAAAACAGTGAGAACAATATTGCACTTCAAAGACAAGATAGAAGGAAATCCCTCATTTTTGCTGTATTGCATACTGTCATCCTCCCAAGAGATGCTCAGACCACTGGCCCCAGGCCTGCAAAATCAATCAAACAACACAAGTGTTTATTTGCTTTATGTACCTTAGTTGCTATCAATTCAGCCTGTCCTTTGAACCCGATGGTTGCTAGACGTAGGAGGGTGTTTGATTCCCCCTGGTAGGCTCATGGGAAGCACTATCTGACTTTTCCTGGAACCCACTCAGATTGCACAGCTTTCCAGGAAGGCTAGCTGGCTGGCTTCTGGTTGGGTCCTCCCCGGTTTTCAAGTATTATGGTGAGACTGAAATAGCCAGTTAAGGTTCTCAGGCCAGCTCAACTCAAAGACCTATCAGCAGCCAGTTTCAGGTTTTAAGTGGGGTTCTCCAAGTATGCACAGCGGTGATCCTCGTCATTGACTTTTACCAAAGTTGAATCACTTTTCAAGAATGATCTTCATTTTCCTGGGGACCAGCACATGGATTTCCTAACTAGGGGAGGATGTGGTGGAACAGCCGGGCCCCGGAGCCTAGTTTTTCCTCCTGCTTGAGCTCCATTTGCACCGATGTTTTTCGAAATGGCCCTGCATGCACCTCCCACTTCTGGCTGTTCAGTTCTCAAACTCCATTTGCCAGGGCTCAGTAAACATCAATATGGAGAGGCTTCAGTCCACTGATAACTCATGCAGGTAAATACGTGAGAGTGAAGGGAAAGGGATGTACTAAGTGCTTACTGTCTGCTCCGTGTGCTCCTACTAACAGCAGAGAAGAGAAGGATAATTTCTCAAGGCCATGGAGATGGCCTGCCAGCTACCAAAGAAGGGAAAATGTACTTAAGGTACGGAGGAGAAGGTCAGTGGTAAGTGTGACTCCCTGGCTGGTGCTGCCCAGAGCTAGAGCAGGGCCTGTGGAGCCAGGAAAAGCATGAGAAGCTGGCATCTCAGAGATGAGTAACATAAAAGGAATTAACATGGAGGCTTAGGGCTGCTTAGGCTCAATTCCTAACCAGGCGGGCAAAACCAAGCTACCGAAGAAGGCTTTGGGTCTCAGGAATGGGATCTCACGTTAGCCACGAAAGAATAAATTTGGGGATTTACTTGCATACAGGTATGCACAGGACTGAGATGTTATTTGTGGAACATAATATAAAATAAAAATGTGATGTCTCCTGTTAAAAACTACAGTTTCACAGGAAGTGGCAGGAGATCATTAAATCAGGAGTAGTGTCCTTCTGAGTAGGACCCCCCAGTCTCATCCCAAGCAGCCCCCCACCCAGGAGTCTGTCCAGACCAAGGGCAAGCTGTGGGTTCCAGAGGCAGAAGCCCCAGAGCTGCATGGGGAGGCGACAGGTCAGCTGAAGCAAGGCATGGCTTCCCAGTTCTGGACGGTGGCTGTGTGTGGCAGGTATGGGGACTGATTTCCTCGTCTCACCTCTGTTTGCTGAGTGTAGCATAGCAGCTGTGAGTTCACCGCCTTCTTCCAGCACCCCTCACCCCGTTTTTCTGCCTTTGAGACCTGACCACTTGCTGTCTTATACTCCAGACTCAAGGCCACGCAGCACACAGATCTCTCCGAGGTGCTCACGGCTCCCTAAACAGCTTGTTTGTTATAAATTAGGCCTTGAGGGCGAGATGGACCTGGATTAGGCGAACACACAAAGCAGGCAGGGGACATCCTCTAAACAAAGGCCTAAGTGAAGACAGCAGTTAGATGTACTAGAGAGTCTGGTGGCAGGGGGCTGGACCAGAGGGTTCTAGAACAAGGCAGAGGCCGGAGACATTGGCAGTTTACTTCAACAGCAAGCACAAGGGAGGAGGGTCGCCCAGTGGCTCCCGGCTGTGCCCCTGGGCCACATCTGCAGGGCCAGCCTTCAAATGGCTGAACAGAGAGGAATCATGGGGCCGGCAGCTGTCTGAGGCAGAGATCAGGGTCCATACCGACTGTGGGAAGGTAACATTCAGGGTCTGAAATGGCCCCAGGGCCCAGACCTTCTGCTCTCAGCCCCAACACCTGCAGATCTGCACCAAGGAGCCTCCTGCTGCACACTGAGCTAGTTGTTATTCTCGGGTGTGACTCCCACCCTGTGATATCAGTGTCCCCAGTCAAGAACCTGTCACCATCTCTTGCAGGTGGTTTAGTGGAGAGGAAGAATGGGCAACAGGATTGATAACTAACAACAGAAGTTTCTAGAATCTTCCTCTCTCTATATGTCTGTGTCTATTTCTCTCCCTCCTTCCCTTGCAGAGCTGAGCTCTTCTTTCAGAGTTTTGGTGTGATTTTGAAGGCCTCGACTTTGGCCTCTGTTTCTTTTGGTTCTCTACCCTTACACACGAATGGGATGTACTCTCCGGAAGTCACTGACCTCAAAGTGCTTGATAAAACACTAAAGGGAGCAAAAGGCCAGCCCAAGGGTGGTAAAGGTCACTGCTCAAAGCACCCACTTCTTACCTGTCCACCCACAGAAGCAAGCGGGAGTCTCTGCCCCTGAGCAGATCCTAAGAGCTCATTTGGTGCAGGCTTCTCAAAAAACCAGCACAGCTCAGTGAGGGAAAAGGCCTTGGCAGAGTTCATGCAGTGGGTCACAGGCAGTGACTGGGGTCAGTTCTTGAATCCTAGCTCCTGGCTGATGGCTTTGCCTGTGCACCACAATCAGACTCACCTTTAACTGGTGCGAGAAACAGTGGGTGGTGAGAAATTGCAGAATGGCTTGAGTAAAGCTGCTTTTGGGCTCCCTGAACTCCCCTTGGTCAGGCTGTTGTCCTGCATGCTGTGTGGGCTGTGCCCTGCGATGGCTTCTGCCCGGGAACCCAGAGATTCAGTGACCAAGGCTCCCCAATGTTCTGGTCTGAGCTCAGCAAGATGTAGAAGCAAATCCAAGGAACTGAGTACCATTAGTGACTCCAGCATCATGATTTTGATGCTGGTGGCCAGAACTGATGCTTCTTGTTAAAATTGTAAACCTACTTGTTTTATTGGATACTAACAAGTTATAATTGTGTGTATTTATGGGGTACAACGTGGTACAATTATATTTGCAGCAATGCAGAATGACGAACTCAAGTTGACTGATGAATCCGTCACCTCAGATACTTATCATTTTCTTTCTAACCTTGTACCCTTTAGTCAATGTCACCCCATTACCCCGCCCCTTAACCTGTGGCTACGATCCTTCTGCTCTCTGCTCCTGTGAGTTCTGTGTTTAAAGATCTCACACATCAGTGAGCTTATGTGGTGTTTGTCTTTCTCTGCTTATTTCACGTAGCATAACATCCTCCAGGTCCACTCAAGTGGCTGCCTATGACATGATTTCCCACTTTTTAAGGGCTAAATGCTATCGCACACCTGTGTGTATATCTACATATATCACATTTCCTTTTTTCAGTCATCAGTCAGGAAGTTCAGGTTTATGTGAATCATGCTGCATTGAACATGGGAGTGTAGGTGTCTCTCTTACATTAGGGTGTCAAATCCCTTCACAGTACCCCAGGAGTTGGGGTGCTTGATCATTTATTGAGGAGCCTCCAGAAGGTTTTCCACAATGGCTATGAGGGCACCAGGGCTTCCTTTTCCCACCAGAGCCCACACCTTGAATGCACAGCTGGACGAGTTTGGCATTATGGATCCCACATTTCTGAGATGACCACACTTTTAACAGGCTCGTGAAGGAATGGAGGAAACCACTGAACCCTAAACCATTCCTCAGTGGCTTTTCCCATTGAAGGGTGGTTTGAAAACCTTCCTGAACCAAGAGTGTGTGACTATGTGGGTTCAGGCAATAATGATCTGTGTATTTTATTTAAGTGACGCTGCCTGGTGACTGAGAAGGCAGCTGTCCTTTGTTGAAATAAAGTGGCTGATGGCCACTTGAAATGTATTCTGGTTTTTGCCCCTCAAATCATCTTATGCAAAGCAGAGTTAAATGAATTCCCTGAGAAAGTGTTCTTGGGAGGATGGGGACAGAAAACCAACATACAGTGATTCTTGCTCAAAATCCTGAGGCTTTCCTAAGACCCTCTATTTATCAAGCACAGTCTCAGTTGGTTGTGTCAGACTATTCCCCAAGCACATGAGGCCAGCTCAGAAAACAGACACGTACACGGACATGCCAGGCCATGGCAGTGCAGAGACCCCTGCACTGGCACTGAGCTCTTTGTGTGTCACCGTGGGCTGACATTTTTCTACTTATTGCAGAGAGTATTTAGTATCTATTTAAATGTTCAGTTTGCCCTAATCGTCCTTGTTATAACCTAAGGCCCCCTAACTATCGCGCAGTAAGGTCTGTTCTGTATAAGCCCACCTGCTGCTTCCCCTCCCCTTCTCCCTTCAAATCTAACTAGGTTAAGTTTTAACTTCCTAAAGGCCATAAAACAAAGGCCTGAGGTAATAGCTCCTGACAACCGGGTCTTCCCTACCTGGTAGCCCCGGCACAAATTGTGTTAATTGCATTAGGTTGTATTAGATTGTACATTCTTCACAAAAATAGCTTCGTTTGTATCATAGCAATACCTGTAACTTGGCCTTACTGTAAATGTGTTTTCCTTTCCCTCTGGGCAAAGGATTGATATGTTAATCAATGCTCTTCTCTATAAAGAATTGTAAAATCTTACCTAATTGATATGTTAACCATTGTTGCCCTCTACAAATAGAACAGTTGTGGTGCTCAAGTAGGGTAACTAAGGTTGTTAATTGCTATTAGGCTTCTCTATTCTTTGCTAAGAAAAACAAGATTTCTTACTATCTAAATTTGCTAGTATGCAGGGACACTTGCAATTGCCGTTCTGCTTTGTAGTGCGTCACACCCCCATCCCCCTCCTTACACTGTGTGACCAGCAGCTGTTTGTGGATTTACAAGATAAAAAGTCCTGACTTTTAGCTGTGAGGCACGCAGTCTCCAAATTGGCTCCTGGAGACTTGTCACCAGGCCTGGATTTTACCTAATAAAGCCTTTGCTTCCCAAATTTTAATTTCTTGCTTCCTTGGATTTTATACCGGGGTCCGAGTTATCACAGTCCTGGCAAAAGGTCACTGCCTGATGATTCTCCGCATAGTAGAGGTCACATCCACAGCAGGCTGGGGACGTCCCCACCCAATGGCGCTTGAATGAGGGGCTCTAGTGCCTGCCCCTCCTCCCCTGGGAGCCCTGCGCCTCACTCTTACTCTCTGCTTCTTTACTCACAGGCTTGCAAAGATTCTGTGAAGACATAGAGATGATGATTGGATTCCAGCCCAACATTTTCTGGAAAGTCTGCTGGGCGTTTGTGACCCCGACCATCCTAACAGTAAGGACTGCGTGCTTTCTCATGAGGCTAAAGCCTTGCGTGCGTATGTGATAATTACATTCCAAGATGCGTGTGCCACTGTGTGATCCTGGGCAGCTGGTGGGAGGAAACTGAAATTTAGAGAGGTGAAGTGATTTGCCTAAAGGGACCCAGCTGGTCTGGTGCATGGGGCTTTGCAGCACCCCTTGGAGTGTCCCCATTATATGGATCTGCCTTGTGATCAGATTGCAAGTAGCAATAACAGCCAGTACGAGTCACACACTAATGTCTTCCAGGCTCTACTCAAGGGGCCTCATCTATCTCCTTTGGTAGCTCTGTCTTAGTCACTTTCCTGTCAATTGGGGTGCAATACCTGACACCCACAATTTAAAAGAAGCAAGATTTATTTGGCCCATGGTTTTTAGAGAATTCGCTCTGTAGTCAGCAGGCTCCAGGGCAAGAAGTACAGTGAAAGGGTCTGGTGGAGGACAGCTGCTTCCATCATGGTGGCCAGGAAGCACAAAGAGAAGGGAGGAGCTGGGAAGGGGAGCTGTACCCTTCCAGTTCATGGCCCCCAGTGGTCGCCTCTTCCAGCTGGACTCCACCTCCTGATTGCAAGTCAGCTCTGAACTCTTTTTTTAAGAAAACAATTTATTTATTGGGAAGCTCTGAATTCTTTTTTGGGGGGTGCCAGGGATTGAGCTCATGATCTCAGGCTTGCCAGGCAGGCACTTATGCCACTGAACTAAATCCCTAGGCCCTGGGAAACTCTGAGTTCTTCAGTGGATGAATCCACTGATGAGTACAGTACCCCATGACCCAATCACCTTCTGAAAGCCCCATCTCAGAACATATGGGGACTGGGGTGGGGGACATTCTGATCTAAAATATTCCACGCTATGTGGGGCAGGCACTGTAATTATCTCCACACTGCAGATGAGGAAACCAAAGCCCAGAGGGTCTGTGACTGCCCCGCATTGTCCACTTCACAGTTAGCAGCAGCCTGGATCTGAACCCAGGTGAGGAGGCTCCAGAGCGCGTGTCCCCAGCTCTACAACTAAGCCAGCGTTCATCACAGGGTTGCTGTTCATTTTTCTTGGTTTTTAGGACTGTTTTGGCATCCTCCAGTGTGAAGGGAACAGTTTGGGAGCCTCTGCAATTCATCTTTTCAAAGATCAGAGCCTTTCATGTGTCAGCAAACCTGGGTGGGGACTTACATTCACATTCCCATCTTGCCACTTTAGTGACTTGCCGTAAGCTGTGTTTTTCTTTGCTCTGCTCTTCAAACACAACATTAATGCAGAGCTTGCTTTCCCCGCCTTCTTAGCTCACCTGCCTCTTTCCTACCATTGGACTTAAGGGGATGATGTTGTCAAATCCCAAGGAAGTTGCCACCTCCGATTAGCTCAGTAGGTGGCAGTAGAAACCAGATTAAGATCTTCCGTTTTAGTATAGGACGCATACTTCGCTCAAGAAATAAAATATTAAAACAAGTGCAAGATAGAGTGGATGAATACACAAGTGCAAGGAAAATCCTTCCTTCCTTCTTTCTTTCCTTTCTTTCTGTCACAGAGTGAGTTCTAATCCAACCATCCTAAATTTGTCCTGGAAAGCTAAAGGTGACAAGAGAGCCACCCAGGACCTGTCCCTGTCTGCAAGGATGCAGACCTAATACCCTACAGCCCCCGCTAGTTTCCTGGATGATGTCCTTTCCACTCGTCTTCTCAGCTGACTGCCTGCAAATGTGTGCATGTGTGTGTGCATGTGTGTGTGCATGCGTGCGTGGCTCAGTTCCCAGGAGGCGGCCGATGCAGGGTCAGCTCTCTCTGAAATTCAGTTTCTTCATTTGGAAAATTCCATTTCACGGCAGATGTGGGTAGAAGAAGAGGTAACGGAGATGACAGTGTCGGACTCATCAGAGGGGCCTGGGCACATGGCTGCTAAGTGATTGAATCCTTCATGTCACCGTCCTGACGCCTGTGTTTCTCTTTTATCCCAGTTTATCCTGTGCTTCAGCTTTTACCAGTGGGAACCCATGACCTACGGCTCTTACCGCTACCCTACGTGGTCCATGGTGCTGGGGTGGCTCATGCTGGCCTGTTCTGTGATCTGGATCCCAATTATGTTTGTGATAAAAATGCACCTGGCCCCTGGCAGATTTATCGAGGTAATTCTCCTCCTCCCTGTCCCTTGCCAACCTCTCCCAAGGGAGAGTCCCTAAAAGCTCTTTGATTACAAAACAAAAGGTGCAGTGACTTATTCAGGAGGGAGACCTGGGGATGAAGTGCTTAAGGTTGCCACCGTTTCTATTACACCCATTTTATTATGTGTTATTCTTCTAATGGAGGGGCTCAGCCAGTGTAGGGGCTGAGCTGTTACTGTGCTCTTCCTCAGTGTGGTGACAGCTCAGGGAACGAATGATCAGTGCCTGCTCCTTCCTGGGCTTGCTCCTCCTCCCCCCAGCCACACTTTAGATCCCAGGTCTCATTGTTAACTGCACATCAGCTTCTCCTCTCCTGATGTGCTCCTCTCAGCCTCCTTCCACCCAAACATCTGTCACCATTAAACTTAAAATCACTGCCTGTCCTCCTGTCCTTGTCTTAGGAATGACTGAGGGGTCCTATCTGATTCTTTTTTTGTTTTGTTTTTTTGTCTTTTTCCTTTTTATCAGTACCAGGGATCAAACTCACGACTGCCTGCTTGCAAGGCAGGCGCTTATGCCCCTGAGCTAAATCCCCAGCCCCTCCTATCTGATTCTTGCCACTAGCAAAACTTAAGGAGAGCTCTAGCAGTCACTGAAATGAGGCAGGAGTGCTTTTCTTAATCCCTTGCTGACCCATTTCCCATCTGTGATGCAAAGAGTCCCCACTGTCACTCCAGAGTGGATGGAAAGGAGGCTGCCCCTTGTTGAACCAGCTGTGAAGCATGGTCAGGCTTTTGTTACTTATGCAAAGTCGCATGCTTAGGGCTGCTAGGAATCCATCCTCCCTGCCTCAGTCTTGAAGATCCAGGGGTATTTTGGACTGGACCAGGGCTACTTAGATTTTGGTTCAGGACCCACTTATGAGGTTACTGGAAATACAAGCCATTGTGCACCATGCACTGAACCAGACTATGGAGGAAATGGACCCCTGGCAGGACCTGTAGGTGACCAAGCTGCACGCTTCCATTGGAGAAGTCCTGGACTAGATCGAGGTGAAGAGACATCTGTCAGCAGAGTGCAGAGAACAGCCATGGGGGTGTTGCTCTCGGTATCCACACTGATAAAAGGCAGAGGCATAGGAGGGGAAGCAGGATGGGAACAAGGAGCACGAAGCAAAGGTCTGCAGGTGGCCTGCAGCTTCTGGTGGAGTCAGGTTTAGTCAAGGGAAGGCACAGGCACCTTCTTGTGGAAGAGTCTCATTCCAGTTTGCATCCTCAGGAAATCCTGCTCGTCATCCCTTCAAGATAAAGTGGCACCATTTCCCCCCAGAGAGGGCTCATGCCTGCCCGGATTAACCTCCCCACAATGATAGCCAGAAATCCCTTAAAACAAAACCCAGTTTCAGCGACTGCTACTGTTTGTCTTAGGCTAAATTCTCTAAACCAATGAGTCCGCCCTATAAATTTATTATGGTTGATTTGGGACACAAAGGTTGTAAAATGATGATTAAGGGAAGATTAAATGAACAGCTGTAAGAACCAGCTTCTCTCTAATAGATAATAAACATATAATCACCTCCTTTTATATCGCCAGAAATGTTTTCTTTCTTTTTTCTAGAAAATGGTCCAGACAAATTATGTTTTCCATAAGAATTTCAGTGGAAGCAGCAGAGACTTGCCCATTATTTTTAGCTTGCCTGTAAGAACACACACTACTGAGCCGAGCCAGGAGCATATTTTTGCCAGTAGATCATTAAAACCTTCACTAGTGCTTAGCAGTGTGTCTTTGTGGGGTTTTTTTTTTTTTTTTTTGGTCATTTATACACTTTTGGAAAATGTGCGAAGACAAATCCAATGATTGTGATGTAGCAATCTGCTGGTGAGACCACAGAGCAGAAGTAATTGAGCACAGGTCTTTCGCAGACTGTGGCTCACAGATTCCCATCATTTGGAAGGAGAAAGGTATAATTAAATGTGGGCCCTTTGTCCTTTATTAATTTTGTGCAATACAAACGTGCAACCATTGTAATATTGCTTGCAGGGGGATATAAACAGTGTCAGGTGAACCATGCTGGGTATCTCTTTATTATGCCTGGGCTGGCTCATTAAAGGCACTAATCTTCCTAACCACCTCTCTTGGGCCCAAGCAGGGGTTGTGGCAAATGTGGTCCGTCTTAAGCAGTTTGGGCACAAGTGCACGGTCCCCAGGGGTGGTTGTGGTGGAGGTGTGTGTTGCTTTCTGTAACCATGCGTGTCTTTGTGTTCTTTGCAGAGGCTAAAGTTGGTGTGCTCACCGCAGCCAGACTGGGGTCCATTCTTAGCTCAACACCGCGGGGAGCGCTACAAGAACATGATCGATCCTCTGGGAACCTCTTCCCTGGGTCTCAAACTGCCAGTCAAGGATTTGGAACTGGGTACCCAGTGCTAGCCCAGCATGTGGAATGGTCCAGACTTTAATCTGTTTGTCCTCTCTGCTTCCTCCTTTTGCCCAGGTTCCCTCTCATTCCCCTTCCTCCCATATCTTCACTCACAACCATGCATGGGTGTGGTAGCAAAGTAGGACCTGGTGCCACATGCTGTAGTGACAGCCACAGGGACCACTTGAAGTGCTGTTCGTTTGTGTCCCTGGTGTCAGTTTCCGAAAGCGGTGGTCTCCTGAGCACAATGTCCTCCCCTGGCCCTCAGTTAGCCCTAGGAGGGGTAGATGGCTTGGTTTCCAGAAGTGTTTCATCCCTGGGGTGGCAGGCATAGAAGAGCAGAGTTTCAAGACTGTTAATTTGGACTTACCAGCATTGCAAATCTGAGCTGCAATATGCAGGGATTTCATTCAGGCTCCCAGAGTTCAGAACAGGGTCCATTTAGAGGGACGGCAGTGGCCGGAAATTGTTTTATGTATAGGGCAAAGCCGATGGACTTGGACACTACTGAGGCTGGTGAGTTCCTATTTCCAGCTGTCATCACATCTGTTTCCTCACTTGGAGCAAGGGTACCCCAAACTCAGACGCTCTGCTCCTGCTCCCTGTGGGGCAGGTAAAGTGTCCATTCTTCGCCCTCAGTCATCTTTTCTTTCTGTAATCGCATTGTGACATCTTCTGGTCATTTTTTCTCCTCCCACACAAGAAGCCATCCTATGATTTGTGCCTAATTTTGTATGTTCACAGTAGAGCTCCTCTACGGTTTTTGTGTAACATTTAGTGTTGTGATTCAGTGCCACAATCCTTGGTTTCTTCTCCTTTAAGTGTCTTTGTATAAGCTGTTGACACCTTGTCTTTCAACCTCTGGGACAACAAGATTTACCCTGGTTCTGACTATATATTATATATGTAAGACACAGACTCTTCGAAGACCATTTCTCAATTTATACTCAACTTTTTCATTACCATAAATGCCAATTGTGGTCATAGAGAATTCAAAGACATGAAGAATTTAATGGAAGGAACCATAATATTCACTGCACTGTAGCACATCTTAGGTCACCGTGTTTACAGAAATTTCAGATAGATACAGCTTAGGTGAGTAGAGAGTGATACAGATAAGACTATAGCTTTTAAGACTACACTTAGCCAATTCAGTTGTAAGAGTTTCCTATTCACAGCGTTCACTGTAACTACGCTCCAATGAGAGCGAGTCACATGTCTGCTGAGATTGGAGAAGCCGTAACCTTTCTTACCTTGTTGTATTCTGAAGATGCATATATGAAATTTTAAAAATGTGATATGTGCTTATGTAGTGTGTACTCATAGTGGTGTTTTCTGTCCTTATAAATATCTTAGGAATCACTATAGAGACGGTGAGTTTAGAACAATGTAGTCTGGGCCTTTTTCTTTTCTTGCAGTATTAATATCTAAACTTAAAATTGTTTCCTTTAGGGGAGACCATTTTAATAATTTTCTTATTCATATGTCTTCACATTCCAGGTCTCAGGCAAAGTTTTAAGTTCAAATCTACTATATTGATGTGACATTTTCATCTTGCTCAATAGTGATGAAACCCAACAACAGGCTTTGGTGTTAACATTTTAAAAAGATGACTTCCTTTGTACTGAAGTATCTGAACTATTTTTCTGAGTGCTTCCTTTTTTTAGGGCAAAGAGCATCAGCATTTGCCAGCAAGACTGTGACTGTCCAGAGTAGCTTGTGAAAGGTGTTGGGGAAAGAAACACAGATGGGTCTAACTGTGGGTTTTCCCATCTCCCATCTCCCATCTGCAGTATGTCCGTCCTTTCTCTTCCCGTCCTTCTCCTTTACACCCCACAGCTGGACCTCCCTGACTTTCAGAAACACTGAATCTCCAGCTTTTCCTAAACTGACTTTCAGGAAGTTGAGGAATGGCCTTGCCTGTCCAGTAGTTGCTATCATGACCTGTCTGTCATCAAATTTCCCCAAGAAAGCCATATTGATGAGAGGCCTCCGTTCCCATACAAGATGTCACAGATGATACCAAAATTTAGCTTCCACAATTGATGCCTGGAAGAGAAGTGGGGAGAGATAAAAAAGCTTTTCAATCTGAAGGTGGAAGCAAATATGCTAAATTAATTAGCATTCTCTCTTGGGATTGGTGTTTTGATGTTAGGATGAATGGGTTTCCTTCCGCTATTTGGCTGAAACTGAGTTTGATCCTAGACACCAACCGTATTTCTCATATTTCTGCTAATTATTACTCTTGTGACTAAAGGGAGGGAGAACCCCATGGATCCTGCTATTTGCAAACAGAAAGCTCACTCAGTTGTGAGAATGGAGAACACCTTGTTCAGCAGTGTTTGGGGGTAGTTATACAGGAATTGTGTTACTAAGATTTGTCCAGCAAAACCCAGTAGCTGTGTGCTCAGCAACTGAGGTTCCCTGCCAGTCTCTGTTCCCACAATTTCCCAATTTCACACATAGTTTACTTAAAGACTCTTGCTCAGGTGAGTGGTTCTGAGCTTACTTGGAAATGGTTAGCTTTTAGACTTTAGATTTTAGATTTTGGATTTCGTCAGTTTTTACAGTCCTGTTGGGTTTGAGGCTTTCTCTGACAGGATGTTGTCAGTGTTCTAGGTGTGTCCCATTGTGTGTCTATAGCTTTAAGCTTCCCATGGACTTGGCTGAGATGCTCATATCTGAGATGGATATGACTGGACGGCTGGCTCCGATGCTATTAACATGCACCATCAACTGGAAGGGGGAAAACTGAGTAAAAATAGAATGAAAAGCACAGATATAACCCTGCACCTCAGGGCTGCCCTTCAAACTGGGGAAAACTGAGCTGCTTAGGAAAGACTTTCAGCTGGTCACTGTGCAGACCAGTTGGGACATTTTTCAGTTGTGAAATTATCTCCTAACACCAAGAGATGTCAGAAACCCATTCAGAGAAAAACAAGCCATATTGAAAAACAGCAACCCTCTAATTTCCTTAAAAGACAAAAAAAATGTATATTTCTTAACTATTGTTGTTAAAGCTTCTTATGCAAATATTTGTCTTGTGTATTAGTAACTTTTAATCTTTGTGTCGTGTGCTATTTGCCATACGCAAATGTGTCTTTAGTAATTGTTTTTTCCCCAATATATTTATTTATTGCATGAAATCTGTGATCAATGCAAAATCTGAATGACCTCAACGCCTTTGAAATTACCAGTGTGTGTTTGTTACGTAAGGAATGTAATCAGCTTGTATTTCAGCGAGCAGCACCTTACAAAGAGCGACACGAAGTGATCTCTGTGAAGACTTGAGATGCCTTCGTGGCATCGCGGGGTTGGGAGTTGAGCTTTGTGTCTGTTTTCTGTCCCATCATCTCCCTGTGCCTCAGTGCTTCCTGCCCACCTTCCTCTCCTGTCAGCATGGTTTCCCCATGCCCCAAAGTAAGAGTTTTCTTTCCTCTCTGTTCCCCTGGCCATCAGTCACTGTCTTCTTCCTAGAGGCTGGCACAATCCCTGTGGCTCAGTGTGGGTGATGGCAGGATCATGCCGCTGTGGTTGCATCTTCTACTGCTTCTTTGAGGCAGATGACTTGAGTGGGAGGATTCCCTGCGTGGCAGGTTGTCTTGCAGGGACAGAAGGTCAAGGCCAACAAATACGTGTTTCCTGTGCTTCATGCTGGGTATCATGAGGAAAAATTTGCAGGCTGGAAGCAAAGGTGGATGATTCCCTCTGGATATGCATTTTCCCACAAAGTGGGCCTGACATTTGGAAAATGAAGCTTCCTGTCTTGCCTGGATTTGGTTTTGGCTGTCCAGGAAGGCCAAGGAGTTATGAATTTTGGTATCTGCTCAGGTCACAGCTGAGCAGCCTGCAGCCAGAGAGAAAGTGTTTGCAGACTGATGAAAAGCAAGTGAAAAGCCTCTGAAAAGCAAGTGGTGGTTTGATCTGCCTGCTCTGTATGAAATACACCTATGGGTGACCGTTTGCCTTACAGGTGTATTTTACTGTTAGGGTGATACTTACAAATTCACTAGGAGCTTGTTTGTCTCTCATTTGCTGGTTTCTTTGCACTTTATTATGGACCTATTAAGAAATAGGTTACTTCTTAAATTGTGTACTTGGATAATATCCTAAATGCAATGAATAAAGATATGTTCGCAAGTCAGGTCCTTATATTTTTTCATTAAATGTACATGAAGAAAATATATTATGTTACAAATGATGCATCATAGATACTTATAGAGTGTGTATTATATACTGTGCATTGTCACTTATAAAGTCATTATTCTTGAGGCCCTACCTCAAATTTTGTATTTATGTGTACAAATGCAATTTATTGTATTATATACTTGCCTATTATATACAGATATAAATTAGAATTTATCCTAATAATGTATGAGTTCACGAAACCCTAAATAAACATCAGTGTTTAAAACATAAAGATTGTGGGATCGTGTCTGCGGCAAACCCATTACCTGCCATCTTTCCTTCTTACAAACAGCCTTCAGGCTTCCCCGATTGGTCGGTTTTATTTTGAGAAATGTGGACTAGCAGTGGAAAATTGCCCTCCTGGAAAATTAGATAGCGTTGTGCTGTGGCAGAAACAAATACCAATTAAATTGTTATATTCTTAACCATCAGAATGCACTATTGTTTGGTGAATTGTTAATTAGCCTTCATGGGCAGGAGAGCAAGAGAGAAAATGAGGGAGAAGAGAGAGGGGGAAGAAGGAAAGGAGGGGAGAGAAAATGAGTATCTCCACAGATCTTAGGTCTGCCTGGGGGAAGGAGCAGGTTAAATCTCTCTGTGTGTTTTAGTGATTATTTTGTTCGTTTTTGATTCAGTAAACATCCACAAAGCTTTATTCCAATTCAGTAAACATCCACAAAGCTCCTGCCTTGCCTTAGACAAAATTAAATAAAGCAGTCCTAGACCTCAAGGAACTCAGAGCCTGCACTAAGCATGTAATTAAGCCAGTGCCATTCCTGTCTTTTTGAGCAGTGTGACCCTCACATTCCCTGCCCAGAGAAGGGGCCCTGAGGTCCTGGGCTGTGGTCTCTGCTGTCTGTTCCTGTTGACCAGAAGCTGGGCTCTGAGCTCCAGGTGTATGACACACTCATGCTCTGTCTGGAGTCGGTGTTGGATGGTTAGGGGGTGATCTGGGCCACTCTTGGTACGAACATAAAAGCCCTCACAACCAGTGCTGAAATCCCTATGCCGAGAACACAGGTGTCCATGCTATGGCCAGGCTCTGTCCCAGGAAGAGCTCACAGTGGTGAAGCCCACACAGGTGCTCAGGCTGGCCGTGAATCTGTGCCTCAGCAGGTGCACAGAGCCCAGGTGAGGAGACCTCAGTGTGCTGTCTTCTGTCCCCAGCCAGGGTCCCCCAGCTAGGAGAGCACCCGCCCTGTGGGATCAGAGCCTGATGCAGCTCACTCCCCTCTCTTGCTCCTGACATTCCTTTCCTCCTTGGGCTTTGAAACTTCCTGTGCTGAAAATTCTCAGCTCCACGTAAAATCAGAGAGAATGAGGAGCTCCTGTGCCAGTCTATTTCGTTTTCTTTGTTTTTTTCTTAGATTCATTGAAGTATTTTTATTGATATAAATGGTAGAATTTTTAGAGAAACAATAACATAATAATGTTGAAAGAATTGTTCCAGCTTCAGTTTGAATGTGACCATGTGCCACACATAGAGATTTAACTGAATTTAAAATGTTCATCACAGGTGGCAATGTGCTACCATATAACTGACAAATAAGAAAAAGCACAAGAAGAGATAAAGTATTACCATGGGGTGGGCAGAGGAGGGGACCCATGCTCAAGCTGGATGTGTTCATACTTCATGTTTTCAGTCCTGTCAGTGTGTCCTTCTCCTTCCTGTTCTTGTTCCTACTTCTTTTCTTCTCCTTCTTCTTCTTCTTCTTCTTCTTCTTCTTCTTCTTCTTCTTCTTCTTCTTCTCCTTCTCCTTCTCCTCCTTCTCCTCCTCCTCCTCCTCTTGTTCTTGTTTTTTCTTCTTGTTCTTGTTCTTCTCCTTCTTCATTTTTTTTTGGGGGGGGACAAGGTCTCTGTAGTCAGGCTGGCCATGAACTCATGGTTACCCTCCTCCTTCAGCCTCCAGTGTGCTGGGATTTGTAGGCATGTGTCACCATGCTTGGCTCCCTGTTACTTATAACACTGGATTATAAGGGGAAGAGCTTACATCCGAAGCCCTTTGGTAAAGGGACTGATCCTCAAACGCTGTCCATCAGAAAAACTCTGCCTCAGTTTTTTCCCTCCTGCAGTGAAATAGACCTGGACTCCGAACCTTATGACCTCTTCCAGTTTCATGCTGAGCTTGGAAGATCCTCCTGTGCCTCCATCCCTCCCTTCAGCTGCTAAATGGATGTTTCCAGAAGTGCATTGTCTTCAGGGTCACACTGGGAAGTAGGGCCTTGCACTTTCACACCCTTTCTAGTCCATGGAACTAGAACACAGCACAGAAGACGCATGAATATAGGAGAAAGTTTATTGCCACGGTGTCCATGGGAGGAAAAAGTGTAAACAGAATAAATGTCATCCACAAAAGAAGGCTGAATAAACTGCTAGATGTCCAAAACGAGTGTGTGTTCTCTAAAACACAAGAATAAATTCTAGGAACAGCAGAGGTTAAGAGTAGGAAGAATTTATTGAGGGGAAGAAAGCTTTTATTTAAGAAGGACAGAAGGGGGCCCGGAAAGTGTGTTGCCTCATTTTATTTTCTCATTTCTGGCTCTCTGCTTAGCATTTCTTTGGAGTATTTCAAAGCAGACATTCTTTACCTGATATTTTGGTTGGGGCTGCTCTGCTGTGTTTTTGTATCCTTTTGAACCAGTCTTTTCCGATATGAGGGTGAGGCCAGGTGCTAAGCTTGGAGTTCACTCAGCACAGCAGGAACCCCCTACTGTGAGCTGATCCAAGGGGTGCAAGGATGGCTGGGAAGGAGCACGCAGGATGTTCACCATGAAAACTATGCTGACTCCTCCATCCCGTCTTTCTCCTTGCACGTCCTTGTCCTCTATTTCTGTCCTTG